GTACCTAGTACTCCTTAGATTTCGGCCACCGGCCAACTGCGCAGGAGATATTGTAGTGTACAAGTGTACGCGCAGACACCACTGCACTCTCAAACGATGAACGATAATTTGACACGACCAGTGAGAGATAAAGCTCAGGACCGACGGCTTTACGTACTCTCCGAGGTACGCGGGTGAAACATTCATCCAAATCCTGGCGTTACTGGGACTCTCTTAACAAAAAGACTTAATAAATAAACGGCCTGACCTAGGACTCGAATCCAGGACCTGCGCATTTGTAGCCTTACGTACTATCCACTACACCAGCAAGTTAGTACCACTCAGCAACTCCAGAAACTGTTTTGGCTCGACCCGGTACTCGAACCCAGAACCTGACGATCTTCACTAACCAGCCAACGTAATATATAATTGTAAACATATTCAACTAACTACATTATGATCTAGCCATACTTATCTAACATTACAGTCATATGTAACACGCAGGCCTTGGTGCTTCGTGATTAATTTGTCGATAATCAGCAATTAAATTTGTTATGCGTTGGATGGTCACGATTGCTTTTGCAGCTGGCTTATTAAAACCTTTATTATTATTATTATTATTTTAAAAAGTCATGGGTAGATATAGTTCTGTGTATATGTCACATTAAAATAATATTTTTTATCTTCAGTCCTAGAATAATCACTAAATATATGATAAACTGGCAACTCACCCTCGCTATGTTACGAGTTACGTTTTAACTTTAATGTTTAGTATTCAAAGATGATATATTTTCCCGCACTAAAACGTGTCCTTTATGTTTATCCGGATAACCAGCTATCATCATACCAAATTTCATCAAAATCTGTCCAGTGGTTTTTTCGTGATGCGTTCCCAGACTGGCCGACAGACAGACAGATAAAAGTTCTACAAACTATACATAGATTCGGCTTCGTATCCATAACAATGACTATTTCAATAAGATTAAGGATGGCAGTGCATAAAATGTAACTGAAGGTTGAAAAAGAAATATTTTTGTCCACATAAAAGTGTAGAGTATTTCTAAATAGGTTTCGTAACCAGCATGAAGTACCCAGCAGAAAAGTCTGAAAAAAAAGAGATATAAGAGCTTGAAAAATACTTACAATATTTTAGTAATAAATTAATTTGTAAAACTTGTTATATTTTGTGCTACGGAACCCTCGGTGTGTGAGTCAAACTCGCACTTGTCTGATTTACGTTTGCTTACATTCGGTGTGGACTGTGTGGCTTCATAAAAAGATCTCGACTTAGTACGTTCACAAGGTAACAAGCATTGTAATGCTAAACGGTCACCCATCCAAATGCATTTACTACATTGCTTGACTTTAGTAATCTTGTCATCACTTTCCCCTATGTTACATAAACTGTTAACTATACAAAACAGAGTCGATAGTTATCGTAGTTTAACGTTAACAGCTGTAGTTAACAGCTAAGTGACGCAACTCAAAACTCATCCCACAATAATGCTCATTATTATGTGTGAAGCGTATCATTGCGAGATATTATATATAATTATTTTAGTTTCACGTAAATCATATCTGATTGTTATATAAGAATTTTTTTTATAATTTTAACAGCTAGATAGTTGCCTGTGGGTTTACGCGCATGTACTTTACATACATTATTAATTCGGGTGTATGTTACACGATATTCTCGCAAATTGTGAATCGATTTTCATGACAGTATTCATTAAAAACATGAAAATCGATTTATTAAACGATATTGATTTTTAATTTTTTTTTTCAAAGTTAAAAAGGTCAATTTCTTACCTAAACTTTTTAAAGTTACCTCCCTAAGTCCTAACATTCTGGGTCTATGTCAGAGATCTGTTTAGGCTTTATAGCATTTTAACGTTTAGCTCAGAGATGAGATATTATCCTGCAGTAAAAACTAGTGCCTATATGTTATCCCGGATAACCAACTATCATCATACCAAATTTCATCAAAATCTGTCTAGTGGTTTTTACGTTATGCGTTCCCAGACAGACTAATAAAAATTCTAAATACTATAGATTCAGCCTCTGTATCTATAATGATGACTAGTTCAATAAGATTTCCCAAAAAAATATTTAATGTACAGATTCGGATCAGTTAGAATTTTATTATCTGTTTCGGGCTTTATAGCATTAAGTTTTTTTTTATAATTACACTAAATAAGAATAAAAACAACAATGTAAAAAAAAATCGTTTGGAAAATTTTATTCTACATAATAATTATTAAATTTTGCACATTTTTATATACAATTATTATAATTAAATGCTTATAAGTTCTTTCACACTTGTTCTATGTAGTTAGTTATGTAATAAACAGTATTGGACTGGAAGATTATTTTCCAGTAATAAATATTTCCTTAAGGAAAACTTGTAAGAGTGCATATCGAATTTATGAAAAAAGACATTGGGACTTACCCTCGCATGTTTCGGGCACTTCTTTGGGTGCCTAACAGTAACCCTATGTGTTACTCCAGACCGTAGCTATCTGTGTACTAAACTTCATCCAAATCCGTCCAGCTGTTTTAGCGTGAAGAAATAACATACACAAACTTTGGCAATATAATTAGTTGATACTAGCGAGTCACCCTCGCTTCGTCCCTACTTACACGTTTTGACGTTTAGTATAGATTTCTCACAAATAACGATGAGATATTTTCCCGCAGTAAAAAGTACCCTATTAGTTGACCCGGATAATCAGCTATCATACCAAATTTCATCAAAATCTGTCCACTGGTTTTGTCGTGATGCGGTCACAGACAGACAGACACACAGATAAAAATTCTAAAAACTAAATTCGGCCTCTGTATCGATTATAATGTCTATTTCAATAAGATTTTCCAAAAAATATTCAATGTACAGATTCGGCTTAGTTACAATTTTATTATATGTATAGATATAGCGGATAGCCTTAACTTTAATCGGTGCGTTCCTATGCCTCTTTATTTCCTTGTCGTTATACCATTCTACATGGTGTCTGCACACCATATTTCCTTATTCCACTTCCCACTATCAACCGGCATGCTCAACAAACACACCTTCCACACACATAACCTCTTTCACTTTTTGTCTGTCTGTTTGTTCCGGCTAATCTCCAAAACGGCTGGACCGATATTGACGCGACTTTCACTGGCAGATAGCTGATATTATAAGCAGTAACTTAGGCCACTTTTATTTCGTAAAAAAAAGAATTTGGGTTTTGCGCAAAAAATTTAAAACTCTTGTAATTGTGAACAAACTCCGCGTAACCTATAATATATCTAAAGAAGTTCTTATAGTAAATGATGATGTTAATTTATGCCTGCGTATAGATGAATTATTAATTTTCATAAAGACATACATTGTTTGTTTTATACAAGAAATAAATAATAGCCTATACAATGAATATACAATACGGAAATTCCACGTACAATAATGAATAAAATAGGCATTTATTATATGCACGTGTACATCGTCTTCGTTTGAAACAAATCTTTAATGTATATTAGCTACATTCGTGGTTCCATCCGTGGTTGGTACATATAAATAAAATTGATAGTGTTTTTACTAAATGCCTCGCTTCTCTCGGGTTCGTCCCTATGTATTTGATATTGTTCATACTAAAATTGCCATTAAAAATGGGCTGGTGGGGGTAGGAGGGTAAAATATTTTACCTATTCTCATACTTACCAAATATACAAAAAAAAACATTAAAATCGGTGGAGCCGTTTCGGAGGAGTGAACAAACACCGTGACACGGATATTTATATATTAGAAGATAAATTGGTTATATATGTAAGTGGTCATAATGTTTATCTCATGTTATCTACGTAATTGTAAATATTAAAAAAAACACTACTTAGGGTGATTTTTTTTGTGAATATAAAAAAAGTGAACCTTTGTAAGCTTATGTATGGGCCGAAGACTACCATAGTTTAGGCCTTAGGTAATCTAGTGCGTCAAAATACTAAATGACAATACAAGACCTAGGTCATAGCGAAAATAGTTTTTTAATAAATGCGTAATAGGTACTACGTATTTGTGTAGTATGGAAATGATTATTATAATTTATTATTACACGTGGATATTCGTAACTGTTTTGACCATTTATGGGCTTTTATTTTTACAGATAAATAAAATTGAAGTGTCTGCTTGTAATTTCAAAATAACAGCTTTTTGCTAAATGCATAGGGCATTATAAATTTTTAAAGATTTAAAATTTTAGACACGATTTTTAAAATTTCTGTTGTATGTCTGTTTGTTCCGGCTATTCTCCGAAACGGCTTGATCGATTTCAATAGGATTTTCACTGGCAGATAGCTGATGTTATAACGAGTAACTTAGCCTACTTTTATTTTAGAAAAAGCATAAGGCTTCCGCTCAAAACAAGGATACCTAGAGACGAAAATGAGCGTAGCGAGGGGAACTCGCTAGCGTTTTATAACGTAGATATGGTAATAATTATCTGGTACTTTAGATATATATAATGTTTGCACCTGACTTTGAACAGAATTTATTTTAACTAGTGTTAGCCCAACAGTCGAAATTTGACCATAATCATTATGGAAATTTAAGAAAAAGATATATGAATAATACCTATTTACTTATTCTATACAAAGTAAAAAAAGAAATAAAAAAAAATCTAACAGCGTAAAAGGCGAACTAAAAAAAATAAAAACAACTTGACGAAGGAACATAGTATTATGCAGTCGGAGACGTATGTACAATATGTACATATTTTATAATAGCTGCGTACCAAAGAAATATACATAGATACTACTCGAAAAACATAACCTTCCTTCTGGCGCAGTCGGATAAAAACGCTGTTTCCAAAAAAAAATTGACACTAAATCTTGTCAATACATGTTTGAGAGAACCTAACTTGTTTGGTTTTGTGAAGTTGGCTAGCGTGATAGACTATATCGAGATACTCCTCGCATTAAGGGAAGCCTATGCGCAGGAGTGGGATGTTAAGTACTGATATATTAAATTATTATTTGTTTTGTTACAGAATGTCCACCTTGCTCTTCTGGCAGGGCAAGGGGAAGGCGAATGGAGCACCCAATGGACGAAACTGGATTCACGCCCCAGACGCTTTAGTGAAGGGCCACGTAGCGTATTTAGTGAAGGTAAGTAAAAAATCCTACTAATATTATAAATTCGAAAAGATGTATGGATGTACAGATGTATGGATATTTATTACCCTTTCACGCTAAAACTACTGAATGGATTTTAATGAAACTTTACAATAATATAGCTCATACATCAGAATAAATAGGCTACTTTTTATTCCGGCAAAATGTACGGTCTCCATGGGATAGATTTGTTTTGTTTTTCTAAAAGCGAACCCGAGTATTAGTTAAATCTAATGTTGAACCATTACAGAGGTAACAGGTATAAGTGTGTTTTCTTTTTCAATCTTAAACTTTCGTATTTATAACGTTAGGGTGATATAATATATATCATCTTCGATATATATATATATATTTTTATTTAAATATTCTATAAAAAAATCCAATATATGCTTCGGTCACCCATTATTATAACAATAATAACTTATATAAATATAACTTTATCTCGCACGTGCAATGCATTTATCGATGGGGGCGTTATATAGCAGATGCTGTCCATTGTTCCTCTATTTTAAAATTAACTAGTGTCGCTCTATGGCTTTGAACTACCGTTAACCCTACATGTCCCGCACAAGTTAACAATAGGTTTGATTCCTCGTAAGTAAAATTTGTTTGTAACGTCGTAACGGCTTGACTGATTTTAATGATTTACTAGCATTGCCCGCGGCTCCGCCCGCGTTCAGATGACCAAAAACCAAATTCTTAGGTTTTACATATTAGTATACATACTCTTACATTGCAGTCTTTCTTTTTCTCAGAAATGAGATATTTTCTCGCGGTAAAAGACAGACAGGCGGACAAAAATTCTAAAAACTATAGATTCGGAATCTGTATCGATAATAATGTTTATTTCAATTAGATTTTCCAGAAAATATTTAATGTACAGATTCGACTTAGTTACAATTTTATTATACGATTATGTATAGATAATTAGATTTTTATTCATAACGTCAAATTAGCAGAAATCAGTTACATTGCATTCTGTGCCTGACACATCGGTCGTTTTGAATTGTCGTCCCACAATAGGTTGATCGTCTCCGCAAAAATTTGTGCATAATGGCATCTGCGCGTCAATTATTCTCATAGAGAGACCTACGAAATAATAGGGCTTTGTTATTACTCTTTCGAATTGTCTAGGAAAAGATATTATAATTATTTTAAACTTAAAAGGTAAACCCACTTCAAAATCACTTTAGAAGAATTTATTTTACCCTTTGGAGAAGAATAAAAAAAACTCGATTATAGGTTCATAATTGGCAAAAATATCGCTTTACATATTATGTGTGTATATATATATATATATATATATATATATATATATATATATATATATATATATATATAATTCTTCTGTGAGTGTGTATGTCACTGAACTTCTCTCAAACGACTGGACCGATTTTGATGAAATTTTTTGTGTGTGTTCAAGGGGATCTGGGAATGGTTTAGATTCACAATTTGAATAATAATTTTCATCAAAAAAATTATTAAAAAAAGTTTGAAATTTTCAAATTAAAGACGTGTAGACAGGACAACGTCTGTCGGGTCCGCTAGTATATATATATATATAAATAGGTAAAACCGTTCAGTAGTCTTTTTCTCCTCTGTTTGTCAACTGATTTGCTTTGTTTTGCTAGTATTCGCTTTTTAAAACTAAGACGTTTTCTTTAAATTTTCAATATTGATTGTGGGCAAATTTCAAACTGGCGAACACCAGTAAACTCAAAAAGTTTTAAATAAGTCCATAGGAGGATATCGAACCTCATACTAACTCGATAAGATCACCATTGTCTTTGTTCTCAAAAGATAAACATTGCATAACATAAATATTTATATAAATAATTACATACACGCAACTTCTCGTGATGTCCCTTGACATTATTAGGAACTAGTGTGCAAATATTAGCAAATATTTATGTATGTTTTCATACGAAAAATACAAAACGTACCAATATTTTACTAATACTTTTTAGCCTAATATATATATATATATATATATATATATATATATATATATATATATATATATATATACATAGGTACATACCCTAAGCGTTACATTTTAACGTTTAGTATAGATTTCTTAGAGATGAGATACTTTCCCGCAGTAAAAAGTATCCTATATGTTGACCCGGATAACCAGCTATCATCATACAAAATTTCATCAAAATCCCTCAAGTGGTTTTTCCGGGATACGGTCACAGACAGACAGACAAATTTTAAAAAAACTATAGACTCGGCCTCTGTATCGATATATTAATAATGGCTATTTCAATAAGATTTTCCAAAAAACACAATTAGAATTTTATTATACGTATAGATATATGTAGATAGATATTAGAACTATGTTGCCCCCCAATATAAAGATGTTGAAATTTATTAGATAATGTCTTAGTCAAGATAATATAATTGTACAATCTTTGAAGAACAAACATTTTAAAAATTGTATGACAAACTGAATTGTTATAACCTGCCTATGCACATGAACGAATTAGCCACTTCGTTCATGCCTATGCATTACTCCAGGTCATAGTCTATCTATGTACAAAAATTTTATCCAAATCGGTCCATGCGTTTCATCGTGAAAGAGTGACAAACATACACACAGAAACTTTCGCATTTATAATAAAGTAGTCCTATATTATAATATATTTCATATTTTAATTTTTCAGTTCCTAGGCTTCACTCAAGTGGACCAGCCAAAAGGCATCGAAGTTGTTAAAGATGCAATCAAAAAGCTACAATTCACGCAGCAATTAAAAAAATCTGAGACTAAGGATGCCGCGAAGTGTAGAAAAGTGGAAATCACCGTGTCGGTGGACGGTGTTGCCATACAGGTAAGTTTTTGTAATAAAATAATATTATAGTATACTTTATAAGAAATAGGTACATCAATAGTAATAAAATCTAGATAGGTCTTAGATCTTTATGGTTATTATGATGTTCTGTCCGTGTCTAACCGACAGGTATTTACAAAACGCTTTTTCTACTTTAAAAATATCCAAACATTTTTCAAAGTGTACATATATATAGAGAGCTGTGCTGATACGAATATCATTTCATTCAACATGATTAGGTACTTGTTAATAAAGTGCAGGAAAACTTGAATAGAAACTGCAAATTTCCAAGTGTCTAAATAGTTTTCGAATGATATGTAAAGTCCGGGTGTAAATCTTCGATCCATCATAAAAGGAAGGCTCGTGCTTAGCTAAACCATACTAGCGTTTTACCCTCGATTTGCTTAAATACATCCCTAGGTGACAGTAAGTTATTCCAAATCATAATTTATGTGTACTGAATTTCATCCAAAACTGTCCTTCCGTTTGAACGTTAAGGAGTAACAAACATACAAACAGACATATTTAATGAATGTACAACATAGACCAATAGATTTCACCGTTGCTTTATTAAAGAAAGTTGAAGAGTCAAATAGGCATAAGGTTAAAATATTTTATATTTAAGTCACGAACTAGGCATAAAGCAAAAATGGCCGTTCATTTGTATACAATTTCACTTTTACTTGTCTACGTAACGTTTTGTTAGTTCCTAAGAGACGATACTAGTGGAGTTTATAGTATTCTATTTTAACATTCACAACAATTAGTATTATAAACGAAAGTTGTCTGTCCATTCGATAAGATTTCTCTGTTAAAATGTTTAGGTGATATAATATTTCGATTTTTTGATAAAAAATTCATTTCGATAAGATTTTCAATAGAATACACAATAGAAATAACTTAAAAAGTACATCAGTTTTAAAAAACTTAAAGGTGGATTTTTTCTTAAATTTTAAGAGGGTCATTCATGTCTTTCAACTAATCTATATATAAATAGCCAAACACAAAACGCCTTTTTCTCCGCTGTTTGTTAACCATCTGTTTTTTAACTAACCACCTCTAGCTACTGATTGACTAGCCTTAGTGTTATCAATGAAAAGTTTTTTTTTTATATAGATAGTTAAATTCTATTAGATTTTTTTTTATTTAGAATAATGATTTAGGTCGAATTTCGACTACTGGGCAAGCACTACTTTTCATTTAAAGCGTTAGGTAGAATTAAAATAAATTTAAACTCAAACATTACTGGTACAATACATATTTGATTATTATAAGTACTTAATTATATATGTACATACAAAAAAACCGACCAAGTGCGATTCGGACTCGCGCACGAAAGGTTTCGTGCCATTATCTATAAAAACGGCAAAAAAATCACGTTTGTTGTAGAGCCCCCTTAAATATTTATTTTAATCTGTTTTTAGTATTTATTATAGTTATTATAGCGGCAACAGAAATACATCATCTGTGAAAATTTCAACTGTTTAACTATCACAGTTCATGAGATACAGCCTGGTGACAGACGGACGGACAGATAGACGGACGGACGGCGGAGTCTTAGTAATAGGGTCCCGTTTTACCCTTTGCGTACGGAACATTAAAAAGCGAACTTATTGTAGGGAAAAAAATATTACTTAAATCAGTCAATACTAACATAGGCTTGTATTGCAAGCAAATATAAAATTATTTCCACGTTTTCTTTTTATGCAATATTTGCTTCGTGTGCCGATTTTTAAGGCTTTCGTCTCGCCGCACCTTCCGCATACAAGAATTAGCAAAAAGGTTCGGTAGTTTAATTGTAACGTAACTGCTACGGATGTTGAATAGATTAGTGTATTTAGTAAGCAGTAATAGTTTCGAAAAAGATATAAAAATTGCGTTTTTTTCAGAAAAGACACACACCTATATAGTTAAAATGCCAAAAAATATCTAAATACAAAATTTGATCCAAATCGTTAGAGCCCTTTCTGAGATACGCGAAATTCAGTTTTATATATATATATATATATATATATATATTGCTCATTTAATATTATAAGTTTATTATATACTAGACTTTGTCTGTAATTTATAAGGTACACTGGTAGGATTCTTTCAAATTATTGTATAAGTTTGTGGTTAGATACCGTTTGTAATAACTGTCTTTTACGATGGCAAAAACCTTAGTTTCTCCCGTCACAATGTTTGCTATAAGCATTCAAAACTACAGAAACAACAAAAATAAAATCTAATAATAAAACCGCAAAAATTGTATAATTTAGAATGTCAAATATTTGCGTAAATTTAAAAAAATAACAAAGTACTTATCATTTAATGTCGTTAAACAAAATCAACTTAAAATTTCGTCATTAAAATATGAATAAAGAGTTTAATTTTAAAATAAAAAAAAACTACAAAGATTTGTGAAACTTTGAAAATTTAAATAACACGTACCTAGTCGTTCCGTTTCAAAAACTTCCCACGTCACCGTTACCTTTTATATACATATAAAAAATCTGCATTATCTGTCTGTAAATTCTAAATTATTACTCCGTTTATCATAATGTTAAATTTAAATAAAGTTTTTGGGCTATGGGGCTTACTTAAGCTAGGTCTTATGGAAAAGTTGAGAAAGAGAAACCTATAAGTTTTACTGCTTTACGTTGATATATGAGAGGGTAGTTATGGCCGATTTCACCAACGTCACCTAAGTTTAAGGGATCCCCTAAACATAGTTAGGGGGCTGTTAGGGGACAGTTTCTGTTTCATCGACAGTTAGGGGTCACCTATATGTTAAAATGCCACCTAAATATAGGTACTAGAAATACGGACTCTGACGATGGTAAAACGAAATTTAATTTAGGGGCTAGTTTAGGGGACTTTTAAGGTAAGGATCCCATACGTAGGTGGTAGCTTATGGGGTGTTGGTGAAATCGGGCATTAGTGTTTGCTTCCTTGGTCGAATAGTTGCCATGCTTTACAACACAAATAAATATCTAAAAAAATACCGCATAGATCATAAAATAAATCAAATGAGCCCAAAATCTAAGGTTTAAAGTTATAGCCTTTAACATCACAGCCTGACTCATTATCAGAGTTCGATGTAATACTATTATTCCATCCATTTTCTGTATATAATACAATATAATTATTTTATCCCAAAGTTTCAAATCGATACATTTATTACAAGTAGGTTAACATCGACTTAGTTATAAGTGAAGCAAACAGAAGCATGTTAGAAATCATAGAATTAGCACAATCATTTGATATAATAAAAAAACTCAAGCATCGTCACGTGAAAAACTAGCGTTTTATAAGCAATTCGTGTCGTCGGTCTAACGACGTCGCCACTATAATATAATCGCTTCCTGTCATTATCGCGTGCAGTTACAGTATTGATGGTTTTTATTCCTTTATGTAATATTTATAAATACTTTTCTTTCTTTTTAGGATATATTGTATAAAATTTTTAGGATATATATATAAAATAATTGAGATGTGAAAGTTTTTTTTAAATAAAGATGGAAAAGACATGTAATTTCTCATTTAATCAATATACATTCTTATTATTCGACTAAAGAACTATATACTAACTGCACTTTAACATAATATCAACGTATGGGATCAAAACCCGTACCTAATCTTTTGGTTAACATTAGAGGGTGCACAGATTATACTCGTAGCTCACTAAGTAAGACCCCTTAATCGTAAAACTTCATTTATAATATGATAATAATAAAAAAAACATATCATTGACCATTGTATTTATATGAACAGTTACTATTTCCTTATTAAACCCACAAATTAAGAAAAAATAAATAAATACCATATATACATTTTTATTTCTTTATTAGTATAATTTAAAAGTACTCGCTGTAAACATTTTTTACTAATGTAAAACAAATTTTTAAGTTCGTTGCTTACCCAATTGCGGCTTAGAAAATATATTTTTGAAATACAACCCCTAAAAACTTTAAAATTTTAAGTAGGGTTAAATTTTCTTATTAATAGCTTCTTCATATAGAGTTCTGATCTAACCAATTTTGAATTTGTGCTTGACAATTCTTTTAAAATGCTTAAGTCTACATTAGATAAAAAGAGCTTGCATTTTTTATACTATATTATTAAATTAAATTTACCTCATCATTATTATTACTTACAAAAAACAACTTAATATATTTTGTTTTCCAGGAACCAAGATCGAACAACGTTCTATACCAGTTCCCGCTCCACCGGATATCCTACTGCGCTGACGACAAGGGCGCGAAAAAATACTTCTCCTTCATTGTCAAATGTAAATGATATTTTATTTGTTTATATCATAACAACAAACGTTTCAATTTAAAGTCTTTATTCAATTATGTTTTAAGTGGCATGTGCAAAAATTAAAATATAGATTAAATTACATTTTTGACCGACTTAATGAACAAAAAACCCAATGTATATTATAAAGATTATATATAACACAATAAATAAATAAAATGATCACCAAAAATATAAACATTTAAAAAACATTTTTATAGGTGGCAACACTGTCAACGGGGTCAATGGCCACGATGGCGGGAACGTGGAAAAGCACGAATGTTTCGTATTCATATCTACGAAACTTGCTTCGGAAATCACGCTCACCATCGGCCAGGCTTTTGATTTAGCATACAGGTGATAATTAAAAATTAATTAATATTCAATCTGTACAATTTAATCATTAAGTATTTTTTAGAGAATGCATTGAGGTTCATTTAAAGGTATAACTTCTTAAACAATATTTTACTCCTATCTATTTCTCTTTGATACTCACTTCACCTCTTGGTAAGATCAAAAAATTTTAATTTTTTATCCCGTTGATGACCTTTTTTCTGGGATAAATAAAAAAAAATACTGACTTCAAAAACACTTATTAAAGTATTTATTAGGTGATTGTCTCGTTATGAGGACATCTTTTGGGTGATCATATTCATTAAAAAAAACTTGAAAATTGGTTCACAATTAACGAAGATAGATTAAAGAAGTTAAAAATATATACAAAATGGTGGCATTTGCGGTTGACTACCGTTATTTAAGTTTCGTTATAAGTGTTTGGGTTAAAATAACAAAGTGAAAGTACCTACCTATAATCAGAATAAAATTTTCTTTTCTATTGTAGGCTAAAGTCGAAGCATTTTAGTTGTTACTAGAATATTTTCTTTTAAATTCAATAGAGCGAATAATTTTACTAAGAATTTCTTACTAACATAAAAAAATAGAAAGAAATTTTACTTATATAGTAAACTAACGCGCTCGCTTTAGAAATCTAGTGAAGCGGGTTCAAATCCCGAGTCTTGCACCTTTAATATTTTCATATGTGAATTATCACCAATATGATTATCACTTGACTTACGGTGATGGAAAACATCGTAAAGAAATCTGCATGTTTGAGAATCTAGCAAGTTTTCGAAAGACATGTCAATTCCGCTCGCATTTCAGCGTAGTGGACTATGGCCCGATCCCTCTAGCATTGAAGGGAGGCCCACCCTCAGCAGTGGGACTATGTGTACGATATATATGATAAACTAGCGTTTTCCATCTGTTATTCATTCTTTCCGTTGCTATCTTCAAAGATTACTATTATTGACAATTTTTTCTTTCAAATATGCGAAATATTTGTAAATGTTTCATGTTAAACTAACGGCGGTGTGCCCCGACACACCCCCACCCGATTTCATTCGTAGTTTCTTTGTTTCCATCTTGTTGTCCTTCTCCTTCTACTATATTTAATAGATCAGCTATCTCGTTTCTTCAGCTTCTCAGTTTCGTCACGGGTTTAGAATAATAACGTTTATTATAAATTTATATATGAATATTATTGCACATACATATTGCCTGTTATAATACCATTTCAGGCTTCAATCAATACCTTTGTATGCTCGTTTTTCTGTTAATTTAATTATTTTGTAAGCAACCCTTAAAAATAAATAAATACATAATTTAAACTCGAGTTATTTAATGTAGAACATTGATTATCGGGGTTCGATTAACCGGGTTTTTTCCTATATCCATTTTTTCTTTAATTTTCTTAATTTACCGGGGATTTGATTGTTCTACCAAAAAATAAGTCTGTAGATTTGTTGTTTTGTTAAAGTTTTCATGTAATATAAACACATATAATTTTACTATTATGTATTTTGTATATTACATTACTATGTAGAATAATATTTTTCCTGATAAATATATTTTTTTTATTGTCATTATAAATTATGATTTTTCTTGCATCCTCATAACAAATTCGATTATCCGTCCACCTCCCTCCTCGTCATTACCCCGGATAATTAAGGTTCTACTGTATATATAATTTTGTTTTTTTTTTTGCAGGCGATTCTTAAATGACAACGGCAAATATATAGAAATGCAAAAGTTGACTTTGCAAAATAAAAGGCTGGAAATACAAATGAACACGTACAAGAATCGCTTACAAGTAAGTTAATTATCTATACAAATAAATAAAATTGATATATCTGTTTGTAATGTCAGAAGAACAGTTTTTTACTACATGCAAAATAACAATTTTTAAAGTTTTTGTTTATTTGTTCTGTCTGTTTGTTTCGGCTAATCTCCGAAAAGACTGAACTGATTTTGACGTAACTTTCACTGGCAGATGTATGTTAAAAAGCTGATGTTGTAAGGAGTAAACTAGGCTACTTTTTTTAGAAAAATAATTAGGGTTCCGCGCAAAAAAATTATAACCCGTGAAATTGTGAACAAAATCCGCGTACTTAGTGACGTACCCGAGTGAAGCCAGTAATACAGGTCGTTAGTAATTATTAATATAATGTAGACATATTATACGTATAGTATAAGTATACGTAAAATAATAAAATTCTTTACGTCGTCGAGCGCATCACTTAAAAATGGCTAAAGGCACGATTTGGCTAATTTCTCTTTTAAAATGTTCACAAAAGTTCTAATAAGTTTCTTAACAAAAAAATGTCCCAAATTTTGAAAATTCACAAAAAAGTCAACGTTCATTTTACCATAATTATATTATTTTTACATAATGGTGCTTCCACACAGCAGCCAAATATTTTTAGATATCATTACATAACATTTTGTTACACGAATTTTTTTTTTACATTCAGTAACATGTTAATTAATATCTATACATATGATAAAATTGTAACTAAGCCGAATCTGTACATTAAATATTTTTTGGAAAATCTTACTGAAATAGACATTATTATCGATACAGAGTCCGAATCTATAGTTTTTAGAACTTTTGTCTGTCTGTCTGTTACCGCATCATGAGAAAACCACTGGGCAGAATTTGATGAAATTTGGTATGATGATAGCTGATTATCCGGGTCAACATATAGGATACTTTTTACCGCAGGAAAATATCTCATTTCTGAGAAAAAATACAAAATCTGCAATGTAAGAGTAATACTAATATGTAAAACCTAAGAATTTGGTTTTTGGTCATCTGAACGCGCGCGGAGCCGCGGGGAATGCTAGTGTTAAATATTGTTAGATGTTTTCAAAGCTTCAACAATGATAAAATATATTGTAGGACATTTCCTAACATTTTATAACCCACTATTTTCATTAGTTTGCTACAAAATGTTAGTAAGTTACAAATTGTTACATTTTGCTTGAAATTGTTTTGTTGAAAAATGCTTTCACATTTTAAAAAAAGGGAAATATTTCATAACTTCTGTTACAAAATGTTTTTTTTTACGATAAAATATTTACTAACATTTTTTAAGTCCTGTGTAGAAGCATCATAAACTTTAAAATTACAAAGAACAATATGTAGATAGAAAGAAACCTGTCAGAGTTAGTATTTAAAAAATATTTTATAATCCTATATTTTATTTTTTTAGGAATTATCCAAAATCACATACAAGGACGATCTCTCCGCGTACCTCTCCCGCAACAATCTCTCCGACATAGCCGAGTTCAAGCCGCCACCAGAATTGGAGAAACAACTGTCCTCACTCGCTGTGAATGGGTTCAACTCCAAAGGAGACACCGGTGAGATAATCTATACAGATAAATAAAATTGAAGTGTCTGTTTGTAATGTTCAAATAACTTTTACGATATACATAGTAAATATGTACGGACATTTTAAGAAAAACACAATTTTTTTAAATTTTTACGTATTGCTTTTACGATTGCAATTAGATAGCAATTTATGTAAATGTTTATTAGTTAGTTGATTTTTGAATAAAAAAAACAGATAGTACTATATATTATGTTTAAAACATAATAGTTTTCACCATTAAGCAGATGAGTGTAGGACAATCTCACTTCGGATCTTAGACTATATTAAATACTTAATATTAATCGAGAAAATCACACAATTTAATAATAATAACTGGTGATTCCATAGTAATTAATAAATAATAGTATGATATTTAAAAAGACGAATAATAATAAATTAATTGGTTATAATAATAGATGCAGTATCAAACAATTCGACGGATACATTTAATTCTAATGACAATAATCTCCTGCTGTCCACTGCCCCGACGACGCACAACGGCAAGCCTAATCCCGCTACTGGGTGAGTCATACACATTAATATATACTTACATACATACACACATACATATATATACTTATACATATGTATGTATACTAAACTGATTCACAAAAATCTACTTTTTTTATATCAGAGAAGTGAGAAAAGATGCCTGTAAAAACCGAAACTTAATATTAATATTTAGAAGTCCCGCATCGAGAATTTCCATTATTCATACAAATAGTACTGGAAAAATTGTTTTTAAATTTCAAAATGTTATATCTTAACTAATAAATGAATTCGAATGACCAAAAATACAGTCGAATTGAGAACCTCCTCCTTTTTGAAGTCGGTTGAAAAATATTATTGTAGAGAATTGAACGTTCTACAAAAAACGCCCCTTATTATTTTTCGATAAATCTACTCGTTTAAACGTTATTCAAATTGAAAGTTAAAATTATGTTATATATAATTACACTTTTTTTTAGAAATCCTATAAATTGTGATTCCCTGACAAAAAAGTCATTCTCAAATTGTTAAGTTTAAGAGTAATGAGTTATTTTTTATAAAAATAATACCTACTGACACAATCATACTACACTTATAATGTTATTTATTATTAATTAATACTTAGACTTACGCAAATATTTGACATTTTAAATAAAACTATCTTTTCGGCTTATTTCGCGGATTCATTTAAATTTTTGGTTCCTGACATTTCGAATACGTACGAGAGGGAGTCTCCCCGTGACCATGATTAGTGTACAGCATTCGAAGATTTCAGAAACTAAAAATGAAAATAAATTCGCTAAAAACTCCGAAAAGATAGTTTTATTATTAACTAATTCCCATTTAAATTTGCATTTGCATTTCAGAAAATTCCTTGGAGATGTTTCAAGCAAGAACCCAGTGGTGGGCACTAAGCTGGAGGGACTTCTGCTCAACTCTGACTCAGACAGTGGTATGACTAGTTAATAATTATTAATTATATTTGATTTAATTAATCTATACATATAATAAAATTCTGAGTCGAATCTGTATATTATATATATTTTTTTAAAATCTAATAAGATTTTCAATTCAAGAATTCAATAGAATTAGACATTATTATCGATACAGATTACGAATCTCTGTTTTTTAGAATATTTGTCTTGTCTGTCTGTGACCGCATTACGAAAAGCCACTGGACAGATTTTGATGAAATTTGGTTTGATGATAGCTGGTTATCCGGGTCAATATATAGGATACTTTTTACTGCGGGAAAATATCTCATTTCTGAGAAATGTGTACTAAACGATTGTCATTCGTTAGTACATTATAATAAAACTAATAGGTAAACCCTTTTTGAAATAAAAAATCTTAAATCACATTAAAAGTATTTTTCGGGAATATTCTATCATCTTATATTTTAGTATTTTTCTATATAATATGTAAATAATTCTTAGAAATTACGTTTTATTTTTGAAAAGAGGAAAAACTACTGTAAAGTACTACAAGAACAAAAAGAAAATATATTTTTTATCTATAAGTAATGTAAAATATTTCAATAATTACTTTTTTGTCAGATTTTGACCCAAGGGCCTTCGAGTCAGAGCCTGTGACCCGCTTCACTCCACCTGTGATAGATAACACAGTCACACCTACTCCACCATTATGTGAGTATAAATAATACTTTTTTACGCCAATATTTGACATCTAAACATATTATAAAATTCTGAGTCTAATCTGTACATTAAATATTTTTTTGAAAATCTTATTGAAAAAATCATTATTATCATAAAGAGACCGCATCTATAGTTTTTAGAGTATTTGTCTGTTTGGAATATTATGATTAAATTATTTTTCTTTCTTTTCCAGTGGCACCACCACCTAAAGCCTCCAAACGTCAAACGTCCCCACAACAAACACAACAACAACAACAACAACAAACTCAATTCATGCCACCGATAAACAACGATATATTCGGATCGACGCCATTTTCACTCCCCGTACAAAACTCATTTCCCGCGCAAACTCCTGTCAACGTCAACGTCAATGTCAAACCTAACTATGACATAAGCGACTTCAACCTTCAAACGTCAGTTTTCAATACAAACTCCTTCACAAACGGACTCTCTGGCTACGATCCTTTTGATACTCAAAAAGCGGGAAATATTTTTGGTAACAGCTTCGGCAATACATTTAATGGCTTCGGGAATTTGAGTGAGAAACAAACTGTGGAGTTGGATAGCAGTTTCAACGGTTTTTTAGATAAAACTATATCGGAGATGAAGGTTAGTTACGTAATTGTAAATTGTTATTTAATTTTTTTATTTGAAATATCTTAATAATTGTAAATTCACGTGTTAAATATTAGTATTTAAACAAACTGAAACTTTCTACTGAAATAAGTAAACAATAAATTTAGATATATGTATGAATATCCTACTAAATATATTATAAATGCGATGTTTGTGAGGATGTATGGATGTTTGTTACTCGTTCACGCAAATCTACTGAATGGATTTTAATGAAACTACAATAATATAGCTAGCATTAATATAGCATACATCAGTATAACACATAGGCTACTTTTTATCCCGGAAAAATATACGATTCGCGTGGGATAGGTATATTTTGTCTATCTAGAGGTAAAAAATAATTATTTTTTATAATTTAACACTTAATGTTTTTGACCCTAAAAATAATTTTAAAGTTTTCATAACATGAAACATGTAATATTTTTATTTATAAAATATACTGTAATTTTTTCCAAACAGATAGATGAATGGTTGGTAAGTGCTTAAAATAAAAAACTTAATAAATTAAGAAATAGGATTTTATAGATTTAATAATATTAGTAGTAGATTTTTATGCTTTGTTTTTTGTTCACAGGATGGTTTCAGCAGAGGGATCAGCTTTGGAAACGATGATTTTTCAATAGATAATCTCGATCCTCTCAAAAAAAATTGAATCGCCAATAATTACTATAAAAAATAGAAACAATTTTACATTCTCGTATTGATTCACACAAATAGGATAATGTTATATTTTATTAGAAAAAAAACGATTATTTAGAGCGATAGGCATAAGCCATGTGTGAGTTGAATCGACAAAAAAAAATAAAAATAAAAATGTTGCCATGTTATTGGTTACAAATACGTGATAATAGGTAAATATTCGCGTTATTTTTCTATTGTAGATCTTCTAACGGTTTTTTTATATGAATCTCTTGAACCAGTAATGTGACGAACATTATACACATAAAAATGGTATTTTTTTAATCATTTAACTTTTATACTGCTCGATGTCATTCCGGAACGTGGCTTATAAATTTAAATACATTCTGAATCATATTTTTTATATAAATATACCTACTAATTATTGTCATATGTAGTTGAAATTTTTGAAATTTTTAAACGGATTTAAAATTTGGAGATCACCTCATTGTTCTGTGATAACTCTTTTAAAATTGAGGTACTTCAAATTATGAATGAATTCCATAGATATTGATAGAAATAAAAGTTATGAAAAATACAAATTTTATATAAAAAAACATTGATGAAATATAAATGGCGATTACTTCTTGCTTTATCAATTTGTAAGTCTGTGTATCAATTACAATGTTTAACAAATATAGTATAATATGAATTATTAAAAAATATACATTTATCCATTCAGTAATAACTAAATTTTAATCATGTAATAAATTTAAAAAAATATAATACAAATTTTTGTCAATTAAATCAAATTGTTAACAGAACATATATTATTTAGGTCATTTCTACACAATTGTACAGTATGAATGACATTGTTGCGTTAGTCTTGAAACATTCCAAGATATTTTATTCAATAACTATAACTCCTAATAATTTTAAGTAAATGTTTTATTGTGTATATTAGCTGTAACTGTTGTATCGCGTCTCATTAGTGGAATATAGTCTCTAATGCTAATTTAAGGCCAAAAGATATACATAATTGTGTATTTACTGTAATAAAATTATGTTTATAATACACTGCTGTTTTATTTTATTTTTATTATAGATGTACATTTTTTTGAGAACATTATTATAATAGTTGAATAATAGACAATCATTGTTCCTTGGTTGTGTGAGGTTTTTTATCCGACTGCGCGACGCAAAGGATACTAATGTGTTTATCAGCCTATGTATGTATGTATGTGGGTTTGTACCATTATTTAGAAAAATCTAAATCGCCGATTTAGGACGCCATAATGTGAAGAAGAAAAAATTAAAATCGACGAACTATATCAAGTGGGGTATCGTTGAATAGGTATTTAAAAATCATTTTTAGCTTTCTTTCATCATTTTTCATTTTAAATATCAGTTTAGGATATATAATGATTTAAAGTTGATTAACAACCATTCTCTAATTTTCCTACTTAAAAATACTTAAAAAGCTGTAAATAAATAAATATATTTTAAAGATAAAAAACTCGACTGCATAAAAGCAGTCGAAGACATACATACGAGTATGTACATCTCGCGGCAAGGATGAAATGTGTAGTGATAGAGCAGTCAGGTATTTTTAAGACTTACTGTTAAATTTTGTGAACTGCTTTAAACCAGTAATCACCAATTATACAAAATCAGTAACACTAAAATCAAAACCACATTTCTATGTAAGTAAATATTTTCTTCAATATTTTAATCAGTCATTATTATGGAGTTTCGTCGTTTAATGCCACATCCAGCCTTTCATGAAAAAAATATTGTACAATATATAATTACATTTATGTTATAACTAGCAGCTCATCCTCTCATTGCTAAGATAGAAAAATAAAATCAAATTATCCCACGGAAACCGTACATGTTTCCGGGATAAAAAGTGGTTATGTGTTATTCTAGACTAAAGTCTATAATCTATCTCTTTGCCAAATTTCATCCAGATCTGTTCAGCCGTTCTGGCGTGATTGAGTAACAGATGTTTGTTACTCTGTATCTAAGCTTTCACATTTACAATATTAGTAAAAAGTGAGATTTATTCGGTACTAGCATAAAACCGAATATTCTGCTACCTTAGACAACAGTCAACACTTCAATAAAAAAAGAAAAACGTCACTTTCAGTGACAATCGAATGACATTTGTTTTGTTATCGTCAAACAAAAACGCCGAAATTTCGCGTTTTTTTTTTCGATAAAAATGTGTTAAATCTATATATATGATCTGAACTAATTAATAGTATTGAGTACATACAGTATTATATCGATACACGGCAGTATTTTACACAATGGTGGATCTAAGCGGTGGTCAAGATGGACCTCTGGAACATGCATTTTCTAACTCGGTGTTTATAGTTCCTGGCATCATTGTGATCAGCTTATCAGGTAAAATGTGTTATTGAATATGCACTATTTTAATAGCTCCTACATTTGTTTATAATCATATAAAGCTGTTATCATATAAAGCAGTAAGTTGTTGTCGTGACTTTTTTGTATTTTTATATTTTTCCACAAAATGTGTTAAATACAGAAAAACAAAATTATTTATTAGAAAATATCAATTTTAACATAGTAAAACCTGTATTTACTAATATGAACTAGACTTTGATCATTATATTATTGATAAATCACATTTTTATCATAACAATATTTACTCTTCTACAATAAAACCATAGTCTAAAGAGTTAGTGAAAAGTACAAGACCTAAACCACAGATTATATATTACTATACTTAAACCAAAGATATGTTGCTACTACTATAATATAATGTCTACATATTTTTTAATATTAATATTGTACACAATATTGTAACATTTTTAATGTACTTCAGCATTTTATTCTACAAACGATTCTTCTGTAGCACCAGAAAACCCCCTACAAAAAAAACTAACATATCTCAGAGACAAAATCTGTTCACTTTTACGAGCACAGTTGGTCTTCTGTAATAGATTTTTCTATTAGCTTAGGGCTATTTTTATACAATAAGATTAGTCAAAAATGACCAATATTTGGCTTATCATATTCTTACTGCAAAAAAAGTACATTCTTTCCTACAAAACCTATAACGACACAGAAATACCTAACTTAGACATGTAAACTTAGAAATATATATATAATATTACTGCTAACCATAGATTTTAGTATTGTAATTAGTGGCATAGTAACACCACATATCACATAATACTATCCCTGTTGAAAAGCTCCAATAGAATCCCATAAAAAGGGACAAAAGCCACATAAAAACCAATAAATATTTATTGGTTTCTATGTGGCATATTATGAATTAATTTTATAGCTTATTGTGTTCTTATCCATCCTGATATTTTTTTTTATTTTTTTTTATTTAGTATCTCCAACAAAAGATACACACAATATACAACATCATATAAAAACAAAAATCAAATAAGACTCACAACAAGTGTGCTCCTTCACTTATAGCAGACCACAGCTTGCTCATTAATGTATTATAAGTTATAACTAAGATAAAACTAAGAAAAAATTAAGGTACATTTCAAGAAACAAATCTGAAACTATTTATAGTATACAGAAAAAAGAAAAAAATCATATTACAAGACATTTAAACTTTTCTACTAAAGTTGTGATAAGAATTTAGTAAGCCTACTTTTAAATTTAAATATATTAGTGGAAAAGATATCTAATTCAACATGTTGTTTAGAAAGCGTATTTAAAATTGAAGACAATTGAATTGTCAAAATAGTCAATCAGGAGCACTGTGTAAGTACTCTCTAAGGCACAGCTGTGAAACACCACCATCTTCCCAACTCCAGGTTGTCACTAGACCTTTTTTTTAATAAAAAGGCTATTACTAAAATTGACTCGACCCAGGAACTCTGCATGTGCAGCTGTACATGTTAGCCATATATATATATATATATATATATATATATATATATATATATATATCATTTTTTAAACATTAAAAAAAAATATTTTTATAGAACATTTATATTATTTACCTTTACTTAAAAGTATTTTTTTTAAATTCCTGTAGGTATACGTTTTTAGCATCTAGTTTTCTCCTTTCATTAATTTGACATATTTTGTATGTATTCTAATTTTGCTTTCTAATGAGACCCTTACGATTAGATTTTTTAATTTCAACCTAGCTTTATAAGACGAGGAATAAAAGAGTGGCAAAGTTTGAATGGAAAATACAAAAAAAAACATATGGTATCATTAAAAATTTTCAAATCTCAAATTAAAAAATAATTCAATGAAACCGGAAAAAGCCCTAGTTTTTAATATATTAAATATTGATATCTTCAAATTTCCATATACGAGTATTACATATGTGTGTACAGATATATTTACTAATTAACAAGGTATTAGAAATTCAACAAGTAAAGTTGCACAACCTAATATGGTTTTTGTGTTGTATTGAAACAACTGCTGCTTTTGTTATTTTGATAACTTGACAAGTTTTTGCTGCGTGTGGTCCAAGTCATAAAAAATTGTACAATTAAGCAAAATGCACTATGATAGTATGTATATAAAAATATAAAGCCTATCATGGTAAAAAAAAGTAGGTATGTGGAATGAGGTCTCATCAGTAACAAAAAAAATATTTCAATAAAAATATCAAATGCATATCGATTTGTGGTTAATACTTAAACTAATGAAAGGATAAATATAGATCCCCAAAAGTATATATCGGTTTTAACAATACCCTATCGATTCCATTAAACAATTTCGTTTTAAAATAAATTCAATTCAATTCTCTGGCTTCAAAGCGTGCCAGCTGAGCACAGACAATTTCGCCAATGTCACGTGGAAATCTTAAATCAAATTTTCGTTTAACTACTACGCATATATTATAACTATTTATACTATTTATTATTGACTGACTGTCGTTTTGTCTTGATAAAATCTATTATGATAGATAGTAAGTACTAAGTGAAGTACTAGTAAGAAGTAAGACAACAATATTGTTTGGTTCTTAATTAATCTTAGGGTCTTAATGTTTATTATTTTAGAGATTTTTTTATTTTATAAAGTCACAACATTATTCATTGTTCTTAACAGAGGGCCCGTTATATCTTAGAAGCCCTGGGCTGCAGCCCAAAAAACCTATATATAGATCCGCCCCTGATCTTTACTGTAGTATTATAAAATTTGTGATTTTATACTTTAAAATCACTAAAAGATCGCGGTATCTTATAAATTGATCCAATCGTATTTTCCAACGTGGACACCAACGTGTCGTATAGATATCGCTCTTTAGATAATATATTCGCTTGTGTTTACTTCACTGTCAAACCAGTTAAATTGTGTTATAATGGCGGACTTACAAAACGATAACCTGCAAAACATGGAAAACGTAGATGCTAATTTAAATAAAATGGAAGAAATGATGAATTCTGATCCAAACTATGTGCCTTCAACTAAAGAACTGCTCGAAATGCTAAATTCTGCAGATATTGATGATGAAATGAAAGAAAGTCTCAAGAGTATGTTGGCGGGAGACGTTCCACAATTTTTCGGGGGTCATGGCATTGGCACTACTGTAGCCATCGTTTTTGTTCTTATCATCTTTTCTGTTATTCGTAAGTTGTTTTTGCGAATTTTTAACATTACACATTTAATTATTAGTAAGTTATGAAATTCAAAACAAAATCGTACCGTCAGTTGTCAAATTTCTTGAAATCCTAATTGTTAAATAAAGGCTTGTGACAAATTAAAAAAAAAAGGAATGATCTTTTTTGCATGTTATAAAAACAATTTAACATAAACAAATATTTATATTCACAAAATGTATTATATCCTTATTGCTATAAATTTCTATGACACTTGCGATAAAATTTGAAGGCTTAATTCATGTGTTGCAATCGTTACTATCAAATAGAAATATTGATGTATTTTTTTATAATAAATAGCTGTTTTTATCCATACAATGTGAAATAAAAACATTTTGAAGTGCAAAACAGGTTAATAATACCTGGCAACATCTTCCTAATTTTATATATATTTTTTAAATTTTTCCACAAATGTCAATATGGGTCACTTATCGCTTTATCGAATAGTTTATATAACAACTTTATCTAAAATCGGTCCAACATAATATCTTCTGTCTGGTAGCGTAAATAAAGTTAGTGATAACGAATTACTCAATAACGTGTACCAATACGAATGCAAAAATTATTTGTATTTTGTTTTCTATTTTAAATTCGGTATACCTACTATACTTTGCGGTGACGCCGTTAGTAATTTTTTTTTTTACAAATATAAATACCCGACTGCGTACAAAGTGAACTAAAAAGAAGAGGACAAGTTGACGAAGGAACAATTGATTCGGATTAAATATAACTCGCCCAGTGGTAACGCGCTCGCTTGGGACACCGAGTGAAGCGGGATATTTCCATGTGTGAATCATTTCTAACATGATTACCACTTGCCTTACGGTGAAGGAAAACATCGTGAGGAAACGTGCATGCTGAGTGAACCTAGCAAGTTTTCGAAAGACATGTAAAGTCCGGCCGCACTTGGCCTGGTGGATTATGGACTGATCCCCCTCGTATTAAAGCGAGGCCCGTGCCCAGCATTGGGACATTAAAAAGGGCTGAATACATACATACAAATATAACTCGATTGATTCAGATGAAAAATAAACTTTCAAGACACAAATTGGCGCCTAGGATTCGCCATTTTGATTTTTAATGATATTTAGTTACCCTATGATACTCGTCTAATCAAGACGAATCGAATGACGTATGAATCATCAAAATCAGTTAAGCCCTTAGTAATTACGAGGGAACATTGAATCGGACATACATACATATTATGTACATTGTACATGCATACATACAGGTCAAACACATAACTCTCATTTGGCCTCGCCGCAGTTTGGTAAAAATAAAGATAGACTGTATTTTAAAATAATAATGAAAGCGAGTTTATTTTTATTATTTTTGGATATTGCAAGTTTAATAAAATAACAGTATTCTTATAAAAATACCTAAGTATATTTTATACGTATATACCCCTTCTTCACCCAAATCCGGCTCGTAATGACCAATCTTAAAAAGCACACGTGTGAATGTTTAAGATAGATTAGATAAGATAGCTGAGTGATTTTATTTTTTTAGTGTAGTTTTTTTTATTATACAGTTATATCATAAAACTCCAAAACTTCTGAAACTTTTCATCTGGAAAACCGCAACAAGGATATATTTTCTTAATTGACATAAAATTTAATATGTTTGTAACGTATGTAATCTTAAAATCTCCATTTGATTGCGTTAAAGTTAGATTTTCCATATATGTATCACCATCAATATGCTGGCGTTAGTATTATCTTACTAATATTATAAATGTGAAAGTTTAGATGTTTGGATGTTTATTACTCAATCACGCCAGAACGGCTGAACGGATCTGGATGAAATTTGACAAAGTGATAGATTAATAGTCCGGAATAGCACATAAGCTACTTTTTATAAATACATATATACGGTTCCCGTGGGTTAGTTTGTTAAATAAGAAGTACTTAATAAAGCTGCTAGTATATTTACATTGTACATGCGTGTAACTTTATGCTTAATTATATTTATGGGTTATCATGATACATATAGACCTTCCAATTACAATCTAGCGACAGTTGCTATCGCAATAGCGTTCTGTGATAGGGCGTTAAAATTAAGTTGCATTATAGATAATAACATTACTTCTCAAGTATTAGTTTATCTTAAGGTGTTGATTAATAACGTCCGGTGAGTTGGATATTGATAAAAAAATATTTTTTAATACTTTTTAAAATAATCATACTATATTTTTTATCTATTACATTAAATTAAACAAAGATAGTGTAGTAATTTAGTGACCTGCACAAGTAATAAAAGTTTTTTTTTTTTACTTAACACGGTTTTAAAAGTTTATATATAATTTTTTTTAAAAGAAAATGAACATCAACGTGGAAAAGGGAATGGACATAGGCAGTGCCATCAAAGATCAACTGGCTCAATCGATTAAAAATGTAGACGTGTTGTCTCTGCTTCAAAAAATGGTGGCATCTACACCGGAAGACGAATCCTCGGAAGATGTTAGGCAAAAGTTGCAAGGAGTTTTGGACAAATATAACGAAATGTCCGATTCTGATAAAGAAATATTCGTCAGTCAAATAAAAAATATACTAGCGTCTAAGTTGGCGTTAAAATTGAAGGATGTACCGTTAGATTTCAGTGGGGTCGAAGACGCAATAAAGGGAGCTGTTCGAACACAAATCTATTTTATGGCAGGCGCTGCTATAATTTTTATACTTCTTTTGGGTAGGTTTTATACATGACTTATAATATTAAAAAAAAACTCAAACGGTATTATACTCTAGAATATATATACATATTTGGTGCATATTCCCATAGACAATATCTTCATTGGCTTCACTTTTGTTCTAACAATGAAAAATATTGCGCTTAATTTTTATAATCTTTTAAACTAGTCTTCTTACAGCTTATAGTTTTACATGCACATTCGCATTAATTTACGCTGTTCAACTGTACCTAAGGTCCACTATAGTAATTCAAAGCTATAAATTATTATAAATGAAAAGGAAAAGGGTTTTTTGTTCATTAATCATGCAATAGTAGGTAATTGAGAAAACGGTTTATTTTGACAGTTTTTTAGAAGATTTATTTCTAAATGATTTCCAAAAAGTCGGTCTTTTTAGATATTTTTTTAACATTAAGTGACTCCCCGACGCTTTATACCTACAGCTCACAAAAATCGGTATCTTGGTTTTGTGTATAAACTTACATCCCTATTTTCTAGATATGTTTTTATTGCTCAAAGTACACAGATTATTATTTACACAAATATGCGTTATAGACACAAAATCTTGAACATACGTACGACTTTGCGGTATGGTTGATTGTTAAAAGACCTTTACGGACCGAAACCGAAAATGCTTTATGAGTTCATTAATCATGATTCAAGACTCAACATATAGCAGATATTTATACTTACATAAAAACAAAACGCACTTTATTTTTAGTAGCCAAGAATAAAGTAAAGAAGAGATATTTTTGGGAACTCTGCAAGATTTTATCCAAATCTCACTTTAATTATAGGTATAATTAATAAAAAATCTTACCCCCTTTCATAAAATGTTCAAGTATTAGGCTTAAAACTTAAATATGTATATAATATTGTATAAGCAACAATTGCAAAGAATAACATTGTAACTCAATAAAGTGTCAATTTCGAATATATATTGAGTTGCAATGCAATGTTCTATTTTAAAATAATAATAATATAATACTACCTTTTTTTATTTTATTGGCCTGATCCTAGAAATTAATATATTTTTCTTTGTTTAAAAGTCAGCGAAAACTTTTTAATATGCGTCAATAGTAACCAATTCTGTATTTGGCCAGCATGGGGGACTATGGCAAGATCTCCCTCGCGTTGAAGGGTTCAAGAGAGGCCCACTCCCAGCTGTGGGACGTTTAAAAGGACTGAACGATAGTAATCACATTATTTTCATTTACAGTATTCTTCGGCTACAAACTCTACAGATCCATAAAGGATAAGGAAAAGAAGAGGGAGGAAAAAAAGAAGTTAAAGCAGATGAAGAAAAAGAAGTAAAGGATGGTCTGCTCTCTGAATTCAATGATATATGCCTGACAAATTATTCCTCTGCTACAAAACTTGCTTTCCTTTGCGCAGGTTTCATATAAAACTTTTTTACTTTTTTACGTTTTCTTTATCAAAATTGTTACAGTCACATAAAGATTTAAAATATTTGTTATTTATTCCTAGAAAAAATAGAGTTTGTCAAGAAATCCACTTTGCGAGATACTTAATATCGTATTAATAATTAAAAATTTACTTGCCATAGGTGCTGTAAATGAAACATACTAAATAGAAATTTTTTAAGCGACTTTTGTTTTAATTACCAATAATGTGTATTTAACTTTCTGTATCACGTGAATATTATGTGCTAATTTTGATAATTTTATTGATAAGAATAATTTTTCAGGCGTTATCAATAATACGACTGATTAAAATCTAAATTAAGGACCTATTTATTCCGCTGTTACTCAACGTATATTTGTTTTTTATCTGTTGACTTTTTTTAATTTATTTTGTTACAAGATCATTCCTATTATGAATAAATTAATATATTTTTTAAAACTTTGAACATTTACCACCAGTGGTTTTAATTTCTTTTGGATTTAAAGAAGATTCTCCATATTATTAAAGATATTTTTTTAAATCGTATATTAAATAAACAATTATTCCGATTTAATAAATATATTCTCTATTTATCTTAATCGACTTGCATTTACAATTTTACTTAATACATTTACTATTAATATAGATTGAAAATATCAAGTCTTAAATTAGTAATTCGATGTGTCATTTAAAAACAAAATATTTTATCTATGGGTCAAACGCAGTAATTAAAAAATAAACTTAGATTTTGAAAGTAGTACATACTTCAAATTTAATCGTGTTTTGTAGATATAGTTTGAAAGGACTAGGATTGATAACAATTATTGTTTTAAAATATTAAATAAAACAATTTAAATTTTAAGAGCAATAGAGAGAGAGATAGAGTTAGGTTTTTTTTATTTATAAAAGGGATGGGCTTAAAAAGGAATTTCGTCTATTAATTTTAATGGACTTCTTTATAAACTCGACGGTCCAAGGACTAGTTTTGTAAATGGACCGCATAAATATCTTTCTTTCTATGGTCCATCCATATGTCCATGGTTTTCAATCCTAGTCTGTTTTATATGAACTGTAGTGACTAGTGTAACTTGTAATGATTTTATGTAACTGAAATGGTCTAACCGCAGTGCAAAGTAACATCGATGATAAATGTTTGCCAAAATATAAATTATTTTTATCGGCTATTATGCTGTCTGTACATTCCGTGTGATTGTTGTGGTTAATATATGTTTATTTACTGATTTGTGTTTTTATTAACCCTTTTTTTCACAATTCAATTAATCTATTCTTATGTTTTAATCTCGAGGACATCTCTATTGAAAAACTTCAATAGGATGTCATCAAAAGCGATAAAAGCCACATAGAAACCAATAAATTCTATGTGGCTTTTGTCGCTAATCTATAATATTAATCCAATTATTTTATAATATTAAATAAGCCAACGGCTCTAACGATTTGGATCAAATTTTGTATTTAGATAAGATTTTGCTTTTTAAGTTTATCCATGTATGTAGTTTTTCACATTTTTTTAAAATTAATTATTAGAGGCTTTTTCTATCTATTAAAATTTGTAAATAATTATTAATTTTCATTGGACCAGCATTTGGATTTTGAATTAGCTTTGTTTTTGTTCTTTTTTTTTAATTTTCAAAACTGAATTACATGGTATGAAATAATTGTACAAAACTATTTTAATTTTCCATGTCTTTCAAAATAAAAATTGATAAACTTTATTTTGTTTTAATTTAAAACTAGTTGTTGCCCGCAGTGTTTCTCGCATAGCAAGCGTGACCTGGAAACTGGTGGACGATCTGTCTCTATGATGTATAATATTTGTTCTTGCTAAATTTTATCGAAATCTGTTTGTTCATCAGTTCAAATTTAAAGGAAGTTAGGTAGAAAAAATTTTTTTTTCATAAATTAAATTTATTTTTATTGTTAAATTAAGTAAATCCATGTCTGCAAGTGATTGCTTAAAAAAGTTCAAGTATCTATGGAAACGTGTAAGAAGTTATTAATATTAAATCAAACTTACGGAATCTTACTGTTCATTTAAAACCCACTATCAGGTCTTGGATTTATAGTGTGTATTAACACGTTTGGCTCAGTTTTTAGCGACCCTGCTTGCTGTGCCAGCGGTCGCGGGTTCGAGTCCCGCTGGGGCATTCATTTGATGAGCACGAATGTTTGTACTCCAGTCATGGGTGTTTATATTTATAACATGTATGTATTTAAAGTTACTTTTGTGTAGTGTATGAACTACCTGGTATCCATTACACAAGCCTCGTAGCTTACCAATGGAACTAGACGGTGCTGTGTGTTAATGTTCCAACATATTTATTTATTATTTACTTTGTTCTGGTGCGTAGATACCTAAGAGTAATCATGTGCTATTCCAGGTCATACTCTACAAGTGCATCATCTGACTGTCCAGCCGCATTTATGGTAGCAGTCCGAATTTTAGTTGGCAGTGTTTTTATGAGATGTTCATCACATTTTACAAATATTGACGGCACAGTTTGCCGGTTTGTTTAAAAAATTGCAAATTGAATCATGCAATATTTTAAAAAAATAAGATTTTTAGAAAGAAGAGTATTTCAGGTATAAAATAAAAAAAAGTGTAGAATTTAGACATTTATTATCACACATTTGACATCGAAAATATTAAATAGGGGTACAGTATATATACTTATAGTTAACAACGACTAGAATGTTTTTATTATAAACAAAAATTTCTCTCAAACGCTGTCTGTCTTACTAGAACGCTACTGTCTTACTAGAATACCTGGATGGATAGTGGTCGCAGATATTGTACTTCACAAGTGTACGCGCAGACACAAGAGCACTCTCTATTCCTGTCACTCTCATACTCTGGCGGGAAGACAATTCAACACGACCAGTGAAAGAGACCAAATGACTATATTTGTCCCGATCCGGAACTCGAACCCACGATCTGGGTACATGTTAACCACTGAGCTGGAGAAGCAGGCTTGCGACATGTATTTGAATTAGGTTTACGAATTTAAATACAAATTTAAAAACTTAAAATATAATAAAAGAATAACAATTTCAAAAAACTTCTAAATAATATAAAAAGCAATATGTACTACTCAGACTTAAAAAATGGAGTATTATCTTTTCAAATAGAATTGGTCCCTTAAGGATAACAAAACATACAAAATTAAAACTTGAATATTTTAGTGTATATTATAATTTATAAATAGTATAATATAACACTAAAAGTTATAACATTTAACAGCCTAATAATTAATATTATTGTAAAATGAAAATAGTAGTCTTATTAGCATCTAATAAAATAAGTAAAAAAATCTTACAAAGTTTTAATTAAACATACGAAATTGGCACATTTTTTGGAAATTAAAGTCTACGTTTAATAATAACTTTTTGGTTTAAGTACAATATAAAGTTAAGTACAATATAAAGAGGACCTGCAGGACGCCTTTGATTTCGTCATAAAAGCCAGCCACTTAGCAAAATCGATACATCATTCATAGAATTATTTCAATCATAAAATATACTAGCGACTCACCCTTGCTTCGCTCGGGTTCGCCTTTAGAAAAGCAAAACAAATCTTGCCCACGGGATTGTTTTTATGTAGTAGCTTTGAATATGTAACGAAATAAAAACAAACTTAGGTGAACTTTTAACTTATATGTATATTGTATACATATATGTATAGAAATAAATATGCTTATACCTAGAAAATTGTTCCATAATATTATACTTTAAATCCTTACTCATTACAATATAAGACATCTAGAAGAAATGTATGTATGTATATAATAGAAACTAGTTGATATAGACACATAGAAGAAAAAAAATCAAATTTCATTTCTTTGTTTGTAAAAATTGTATATGTATAGTTACACATATTTTGTGCTTTCAGCCAAAAAAACTAACTAAAATTGATCACATTTGAATAGCTTAACTATATTTTTATTGATTGCATTTTTTTCAGTCACAGAGACCAAACTCCTAACACTAACTCTAAATGAGAGATATTATAATCTAGAAATGTATACGAAGACAATTACATCGTCCATCGACTTACACACTATTAGACACGAAGGTGTGACACCAGCCATCATCCCTCTCTCTACACTACTCTACACAGCCAACTTAATACTATGATATTTTCTTAGGTTTACGCGAATATATGACTTTTTGAATAAAACTACGGATTTTTTCAGTTTCGGTCGTTTCACAATGCTAGACAGTTTTTAAGAAAAGAGAAATGGCCACAAACTAAGTTAAAAAATACTTCTTAGATAAAGAAGATTAGTGTTGCCATAGTTTTGCAATTTGAAATTAATTAAGAAAATATATTTTTTTTACTTTTTTTTATTCAAAATATCAATTAACGGTAAGTATCGATAAGGCTTCATTTCCGCATGCATTTAAGAAGTACTTCTTTTTCATTTTATTTTAATATTCTTATGTTACTACACAATATATTTAAAAACTAGCCTTCGTTCGCCTCTAGAAAAGCACAACCTGTACCTGTTATTTGACCAGCAATACAAGGTATCAGCATGCCAAATTTTACTAAATTAGGTGCGTAAGTTGTTGTGTATTAAGCTGTATACTTATGTTGTATGTTACTACCTATAGTTTTTTAACTATCCCGCTGGATGAAAAGTATCTAAAATGTTGACCGGGGATATAAGGTACCACCATCCAAAATTTCATTTAAATCGGTCCAACAGTTTCGGAGATTAGCCCGTAAAAACAGACAAACAGATAATCAAACAGAGAAACAAAAAATTGAAAAAAATCTGCATTTGTTCTATTTCTCTTCTTACATCCACCTGGGCCCTGATTCTTAGCATATTTTTATAGTTATATTATATGTATAGCTTACATTGCTTTATAATAAAAATTTGAAATATTACTGAAAATGTCTAATTTTGAGTGAAACACAGACCAAAGTTTGGCGTCTCACAAGTAGTATTATATATATATATATATATATATATATATATATATATATATATATATAATTTTTTCCCCTTATTCTGGGGCGAAAATGAGGCCATATAGATACGCTTCCTTTTTTGACAGAAAATCTTAATTACTCTTTTGGCACGACAAAGACGAGATATATGATATTCATTGTATCAAATCATAACTGTAAAAGCTAATTACTACACCACACCAAAATCGCCGTATATAAACGCGCCGTACTCATTGTTTGTTGATAAACTTAAGACGGCCTATGGAGATTACTTGCGTTCGAATCGATACAAATACGCGTCGCTGTACTTCGTATGCATACGCCCTAAACGAACGCGACAGATTGATACAACATAATAATAATCATATTTAAATACATATATAATATGGACACACTATGATTTTTAGTTCCGTAGTAAAACAAGGAACAATAGAGAAGAATATGATATAAAAAGGTTTTACAAAAAATATTCAAAATATTTCTAAAATACACAACAGAAGTTCTCTTCTGTAACACATCCAAGAATAAATTTTATATATTCTCATCACATGGCTAATACTGAGCATTTTTCACTAAATTATAGACATTTCGATAAAAAATATTGAATATTAGAAGATTTACTTAAAATAATAAGTCTTGGCTTTACCCTTATTACCGTTGTGCTTATTTTGATAAGACTTTAGACTTAGCTAGTTAAACAAAGTGATATCAATAACACTTGGTAACTACCGTTTAATTCAGTCCGTCTGTAGTTAAGAATAGTCTGAGATCATTGTTACACAAAATAATTCAACAAAATCAGTAAGCCCTTAAAGAATATCCTAAAACAGGCTTTACTTGGAACGCAAGGCACTAACGGTTCGACAATTATTAACACTGCACGTCTCATTAAAACAGCATAATGAACTCCCTCTGAACACACTTCCTTCAGACAAGAGAAGAAAATATTTGGTCTTTCTTAAGCCACGAACTAAACATGCATTTGCTAATAGGTTATATAGAATGTATATTTTCGGAGCTTTTTTGTATAACAAACTCAATAGTTTTGATTTATATAGAACAAGTTATAAGAAATATATAATAATAATATCGGATATTCGTCAAAATTTGATTTTACACAGACACAGAATCTAATATCTTCAGATCTAAGTCAAGTTAGTCATATGTATAAGTTTCATTTGTCACATAAAGTCTGCGTTTATAAGTTTCAAAGTTTGCTCTGTTCAGAACCTTTGCCACAGGGAGCATGGTAAACCTACACACCAAATAGGTTCCAAATTGTATCATCCGTTGTAATTCATTTTGTAATATAACTTTATAAAAGTATTTGAATAAAATTATAGAATATTTTTTTAAATTTGAGATTCTTGAATATTTTTTAATGTTATCATTAATTTCAAAGCTTTTCTCTTCAAAGACGGGAAAATGTTCTACGCTATCTATATATAAGTACTTCTTTTGCCATTTTCTTCAGGAAGATGTTTGGTATTTACTGTAACAGATAAGTTCTGTGGTATGTTCTTTAGTGTTTTTTGTTGTTAATTGGTAGAAGGTTCTAGGTTCTTAAGATATTATTTTCATTTCTGTATCTTGATGTATATTTTCTTAAATAATATGACGGTCACATTCTATCTCCCTCCTTACCGGAAGACCACTTGCTATACATTTTTTTTTAAGACCAGGTAAAAAGTTTTTAAGGACTGCGTGATGTTTCATTAGTAACTCGTATCTAATGTTATGTATAACTTCATCCGAATTCTTTACACATACTTCTAAAGTGTCAACGAAAATACAGTTTCCAATTGTTAAGGCAATATGACCTTTAAGGTAGACACGTTCATTTTCATTGTAAACGATATTCTGAATATGGTTCTTAGCGAGATCAGAAAACGTGGTGTCGTTATATTTAGGCTTTATATTAATCAATTTTATCGGAGCAACGTAGGTCTCTATCGCTTTAAACACTTCAGGTAAATGGTAAAGATTAATATCTCTGGTAACTCCATACAGTTCATAATCAATCAGTTTTATAAGTACTTCATTTGGGTTCCCTGTTTCATATTCGCTTAGTATTTTGACAACCTGACATCTCTTGTATATAAATACTTCGGTACGTACGGCGCATATATCACCTACTTTGGGATAACCGAGAAGTTTTCTATTGACCCCTTGGTCATAGTGCATGCGCATTTTACAAATTAGCTCACTATAGTTTCGCTGATATTTTACGAACTTTCCGCTTGAATAGCTATACACGAGCCTGCCAAAATATGATGTCGGTGAATTGTATTTTAAGAGTTTGAAAATAATAAGACCTTCTGTTGGCAACCATTTTAGTGGCATATCATAATCTTTTATAATAGTATGTCGCAGGTTACAATAGAAAAACTCAGGGCATTCTCCCAACATGAGGAAACTATCGCATAACGGTACCAAATTTTTTGCTCTGATTACATCATTCTCTTTTAAAATATTTTTGCAAACACCATCTAAGACATATGGGACGGCAGTGAATTTTTTTATAAAGTTTATAATTTTAGGCAATTGTTCCCCATTGCTTTTGTTAACAAAGATTTTTATTTTGACAACATCATTATTATCTTTAAATATTGATGGATAGTTATCGTTTAAAACTGAGAATCGCTTACAGAACATCGAATAGAGACGCGGTAACGAGAAATGAACCAAATTATGCGCGTCTGTAATACCCATATGAGCCAAACTTTGATCGCAACAAATCAAAATAGGTCCCAATTCATTGGGTCCTTTAGGACACTGTGACCATGAATCACTTAAATTCTGCAAATCTTGTACAGTCATATTCTTATGAGCCGTGTATATCATTTGTTTCCGATTGTTGTTGATCTTTACCCAACATTTTACAAAATAGATGTTAATGTCATCGTCGATTACTATGACAGTCTTCTTCGATCTATCTATTTTTTGTAAAAAATCAATTAAGCAATTAAATGTATTATTTTTGGTGAAACAAACGGATACATCCGCTTTCGAATATCTAACACACTCTTGGAAAGCCCCGATACAAATAACCGTACGGGGGACTTTCAGAGCTAACGAATCCATATTATTGCACCAAACAGGCGAAGCTAATATGTACTGAACTTTTGATTCTTTCTCCTTTCTTCTGCTCAGGGTTTCCTCTATTTTTATTTGGAACGTTTCAATTTCGTCTTCATATATACTAAATAATCTTTCACAATCGTCCATAACAAAAATGGATAACCGCCTTAAATCGACGGTGAAATGGGGCATTTGGAATAATTTCGATAGATAACATGGGGTAGCTATCAACAAATCGCAACTGTTAACAAAAGTTTCGACATGAGAATCATCGACACCGGGATAGTACGCGAAAATCCTATGCTCTAACCCTAGAAACATTTTCGCATTCTTTTCTACATTCTCAACCAAATTAGCGGTAGCGCAGACTATAATCGCTATCGGACCAGAGCCATCTATAATCGAACCGCTAACTAATCGACAAACCGCTGGCAAATAGCCCATAGTCTTACCAGTGTTTGGAGGACTGATCATGAATAAGCTGAAACCTCTCAAAATAACGGGCCAAGACATCGTTTGTATAATCATTGGGCTTTTAATCGACATATATTTTAGTACTTCGTGTATATGTTCATTAAAGCACACGTCACGTAAATTTTGAATAGGTTGAACGTGCCTATTGATTTTGTAATGTACCATCAAGACTGGCGACACTAAGTTATCGACAAACGCAGGTACATCGGTCTCCATATTTTTAAAAGGATTCACGTTGTATTTTACTAAAACCTCTTCAGTTGGAATTTCTTCAGGTTTCTCTTCTTCATTATCTGTAGTTGAATTGCTTCGTGAGTCAAGTTCAGGGGGACCAAATGCCACTTGCTTCGTATTCGTACTATTCGATGGTTTGCAAACGTTTGAAGATTTCTGTGACGTTTCATCTGTTAAGAAAAAATTATACAATAAAATGTTAATCAAAGCCACATACCAAGTAGAAAAAAATAGAACATGATTTATATATATCTTATATCTTTAAACGAGCAATATATATATATATATATATATATATATATATATATATATATATATATACATATATACAAGAATTGCTCGTGATGTTTCATTTTATCGAATAGATTAGATCAATATTTGGCAGGCAATTACAAGTTCGATACGTTGAGTCAAATTTGAAGAAGTAAACGTATGCAAATCCCATACATTGATTATTCTATTCCACTAGCGTTTATGCCACTTGTCTAGGCCTTCAGGGTAGTACATTAATCTCCATAGAAATTGAAGACAAGTGGCACTTTTGACAAATGAATTCGGCTGCTAGCAGTTAAAAAAACAGTTAACAAACAACAACAACAACAAACTATTATGAGCTCGACTGTACGTAAGCAGGAAGTCGCGCGCGTGTGCAGTATACGGACGTAACTCACACTAAAGCGCAGTCGTGTAGGTGAGAGAGCGAGCGCGCGGGGATGTGCCCCGCCGGCACGTCCCTCTACGTCCCGCTAATACCTAAAAATTGTGATCTGCGCATCGGAGCGTACGATGTTCAGAGCCGCCATTAAGTTTGAATTGTACTATACCAAATTGTTATCGAAATTACCTAGGCGTTAGCGTTTATCGAAAGAGGATCAATATGGAGTGTTTGCCACTTGTCTAAGCCTTCAGTTATACTTACGATTTAAATGTTTATACTAAGCACTAGTTTGTAACATATTTTCCTTTTTCGAAACTCTATTAGGAATTATCAATGAAACTATCAAAAATCTATCTATATTATATACAAAAATATAGAATTGGTTCGGAATAATAATCTGTCTGATTCCCGTGCAATGTCTGAATGGATTACACTCAACAAACCAAAAATGGAAGCAATTTTGTGCTTAAAAGTGTCATTTTTGAGATATTTGGAAGTAAAGAATGTTATATAAATGGCATAAAGGTTTGAACCCTTTTCGTTAAGTAGTTTCTATAAATATTAGGCACATACATGATACAAACAAAAATATTGTAAAAACCCAAGAATCCTTCCCGTTTTATAAATTAATCCATACATACCTTCTTTTAGTGAGGAATTGTCACTGACATCATCTGCATTTTCTTCATCACTGGTTTGGCTTATCTTTTTGTCTGAAGATACTTTGATATCTTTATACCCGCTAGGTAGTGTCTTGTTTGTAGCTGCTAACAAAAACAACATTTTAAAGTCATAAAAAATCATAAATATTTTAAATTGACATAATTTTTGTATTTATAAACCGATTGATATAAAACAAACAAATGTATAATAAATTTTAAATGAAGCTTACCACAATACATTAGTGAAAATCGCATCTATCTATTGGTTAAGAGCTTTCTGAGATTAGCGTGCACAAACGCACAGACAAAAATTCTAATAATCATTGTATGGGTTTCTATTGTGTTAATCAAGAACCCTAATAATAGTTTTTCTCAAATATCTTCCATGTATAGACAGCAATCAGTTACACTTTTATTACATGTATAGATATCATCTGACAATTGGGGAGTGGTCCACACATAAATGCGTGGATAATTATATAGTCCATATATAAATAGAAGAAATAACAGCACTATTAAGTATTGGTCCACGATCAAACAATCTATAACTAAACTGTACATGTATGGAAATGTGAAAAGGTAACAGACAGTTACATTCACATTTCAAATAATATAAATATTACTATCATGTTTCAAACTATATGAATAAATGCTATCTATTGTTACTAATTGGATTTTAGTAGCTCGATCAGCTTCTGCTTTCCACTTCAACTTTCAAAACCTAAAGGGGTTTTATAAAGTTCTACAGATCAATGGTACACTCTGTCTAGAGGTTTGATTTGGGAATTGATCAGATAGCATAACCAATTTTATTTACATAACTAAATAAATATGCATTAATTATTTACATGAACATGTGGCTTCATCCTCAGTCTTTAATGTTTCTTCAATGTTTGTGCTGGTGTTACTGGCATTTTGGATATCTTCCTTTTTGTCTAATTCACTTTTGCTTCTTTGTTTCGACTGATTGAGTGTCTTTTTATTTATGAATGCATTTGAAGCTGACTGATTACAATCCTGTTCTGAAACTTCATTTTCTGTATTACATTTTACTTTCGAATTTGTGGCTAAAAAGTTTCTAATATCATCAAATATTCTTTCATAATTATTACTACTCTGAGAACAATGAGCTGCTTGCCTTTGTTTGAATGCATTTTCTTCATTATAAGATTTCCGTCTAGACCCACAACCAACGGATTCTTCATCTATTTCCTTACACAACTCAAAATCCCAAGCTTTCTGTTCTAGAATCTCACTTAGCATCTCATTGTTATGCCCTCCAACATAATTTACTGTTAATGATGATTCAAATTCTTGGAATGATTGAAATACTGAGGTTTGTTTTATAAATGTGTTCTGTTTCTCTGATTTTAGCTTTGGGTTATTTTTAGGATAACATTTTTCAATTTCCCTTACAACTTCCTTTGTTTTGATGTATGAAAGTTTAGTGTTTAAATTACCAAAACTTAACTTTTGATGGAAATCTTTCACATCAAAATAGGCAAGGTTTTTTTTGATTAGGAATTTGGATAACTTTATCAATTCACTACCTTTATGTTTTATCAATAATTCTCCATATTTATGGATGTTATCATCAAATATTGATGTACTGTAAAAGAATTAGAGGACTTGTTACGATACCTACTGTAATTAAATAAGAATAAAACTAAATAAACATTATTTAGTTTACCTTCTATCTATATAAGAAAGTGAAAACCAGACTTCAGTACTGTCTTTGAAGATGTCTTTTAGTATTTTTGTAACTGCCGGTATCCAATTCAATTCAATATCTAAAGTTCTTTCTAATGGCAGTAAGCCATATAACCCGACTAGTTCGAACATCTTCTGATCTGTTGCATCCGAGGGATCCAACACTTCAACCCATATCAAATGAGGGTTGAGGTAATGTAATACTTCTACTCTATACATGTCTGCCGACATAATGCCAAATATTATTAAAATAACAGGTGGAAGGGTATTTTTTTTACTCAATAATAATTCAGCTTTATTAAACCCAACCAGCAATCACAAGCTCAACTGCAAGTAACTTCAAATTTCAAAAATATTGTAGCATTTCTATATAGTTGTGAAAAATATTTTCTTTAAAACGTTTTTAAGTCATTAGTCGAAATAAAAATTACTTTAAGAATGCAATCATTATGGAATCACACACGCAAAATAGGCGCATAGTCGTCGAGTTGCGGAAAACAGCCCGAATATACCATACCATACTTTAGGAGTGTTATGTAGAGTGAAAATCAGCTAGTATTCAATGAATTATTAACTTCAAAAAAATATTATAGAAACCCTGCAATCCGTACTTAATATTATATATGCGAAAGTGTGTTTGTTTGTCTTTCTTTCACGTCGAAACAGAGTGACGGATTGGCGAGATTTTTTCGTGTGAAGATTGTTGGAGAGCTAGAGAGTGAAATAGGATACTTCTTATCGCGGGAAATTATCTCATTCCCCCTGGAAAAAAAGTTATAATACAACCTAAAAAAACATTTATGATTAAAATTACTTGAAACTAATTTAGTTTTAAACGTATGTATTTAATTGTATTGAAGAGTATTAATGCTCTATACTACAATTAAATACATACGTTTTCTAACATTTTTCGGAGTTCATCCCATAAGGGGGTAAAATAGGGGATGAAAGTTTGTATGAAACCTACCTTTTTGTAGTTTTAGCGCGAGCGAAGCCGCGGGTTCTCAAATTCGTAATCGTTATTGATTATTCGTTGTTTTTTCCTGGTCTATGGTGATTGGTGGTTTTATTTTGGTATTTAAAATGGTACAGATTAAAAATCTTTTATTCGAATTTAATGGGGAAGAATTTTGCCTTTTTCTACTACTAGATTTCACGACTACTATGGATCTCAGTATTTTGTAAAGTTCTATAGCGTTGATAGATTTTGTTCACAAAATGTGCAGTACCAGGATGCGATAAAAATGGATATCATTGGTTTTCATAAGACAAAAACTGAAGAGATTGTAGGCTAAAGCAATAAGACGACCAAAATTGGTGAAATCACAATCTTTATATTAAAGGCTAGGCTGCTTGGGCTACTTTTGCTGTTCGCACCGGTCGGCGGAATACTTATGACGAAGAGAAAGGGATGCACTACTAGTCGTTGTCATAAAACTCTTGGGCATAACCGCCGGACCTCCCACTCTAGACACACAGCCCGCGACGAGAGAGGATATAATTAATCTTATAATAACCGCTAAGGTGTGGTCATAATTTCACGAGTTACCTTTGTACAGCCGATAAATTATTTTAACTGCTGCCCCAGTGTATGGACGTTAGTGCACCCGACCGCCTGGAACATGGGAAAGATGAAGACACACAGGTTAATGCACTTCCTTTTTTTTCGTCTTAGTGAAGTACTCCCCTAGCGACCAGGTGCCAGTAAAAGTGGGCTTTATTTAAACCGTGTACCAAGGGCACATGAATCACCCTTAATATCCTAGAAACTGCACACGAGGGTGATGTATGCGATTGGCGTGTACAAAGGCTATGTAAACATCATTTTGAAGAGAATTATTTTATAGCTTTTAAATCTTCCACAGGTGAATATTATTTTTTATTATTCGTGCTTTTCTACACACATATTATTTACAAAGTTTCGTACATACTCTCATCCTCCATTTTACCCCCTTATCGGGTTGAATTTTGAAAAATACTTAAGCAAAATATATTTATTTAATTGTATTGAAGAGCATCAAGTTTCAAGTAATTCTGATCATAAATAACTTTATCTCTTTTACCCCCTTAAGGGATAAATTTCGATTAAAATCAATTTTTTTTTGGTAAAGCTAAACACCACTTTCTTTGTAATTCATATTAATGACAGAGTCTCATAGAATCTTTCTGAAAACCCTTCGATTTTAATTGAGATTACACACAAAGAAGGTTTTGTGAGTGGACCTTGGATTGCCATCGTGGTGAAAGGATTAGCCAATCAGCGTTAATAAATATCTGATAGCCCAGGGTGTACCGGACGTATAGGTTGTATACGTCGCTCGGCGAGGATCCTTTCGTTCACCCCAGCTATGGTCCTTTGCCAATTCCATTCGTTCCACCGTCTGAAAATATTGCGCCTGGACATAGTTTGCCTTGGCAGACCTGGAAGTCTCTCAACAGACTCTGGACTCAGGTTGGCCGAAGCCAGAAAAATTTGTCTTGATTTAAAACTTGCCATCGACACGAAAAAAAGAAGATAGAATCTTTAATCCCCTATTTTACCCACTTAGGGATGAATTTAAAAAAAATCTTTCTACCGGATGCCTACAGCATAAATAATTCATTATGAATGGAATACGTTCTCTAAATTTCAGCGGTTAAGGCTGTTTGTTTATTCATCATTCTGTCAGGACCACCATAGCTTGCACCTCTCATTCCTTCAGCTGGTCTAACTTCCAGGTATAATACATTGTACAGGTAAGATGCGAACACAACAGAAGCAAAAAAACCAAGTACAAGAGATATAATAATAAATTGCTTAACCTCAGACTGAATGTAAATAGATTATACGTGTAGCGCCCTCATTTAAAGAAATCTTCCTCATTGATTGACATTATTGCAACTAATGACATAAATTTGACAAATGACAAGTTGCAATGAATTCGTGGCGCAAGACAACAATTTTGTGAAAATTGTACATAATTTTAACGTGTTAAATACTATTTTTTCTGAGTTTAAACGTGTAATATTATTTTTTTAAGGTTAGTATGATAAAATGTACAATTTTAGATTTGGCGAACTTATTCTAATGATTTTTAGAACAATGCGATGTGTATGTGATATTTAAATCAATTAATTTACCGGCCCACATCATTTAATTGACGTTTTATTAGATATTTTATCAAATAAATAGCAGTTTATGATATTTAAAAAAATGTTACTTATACATTTGTCTCTTCTAAATAATAAAGTTCATTTGAAGCCATATTAAAAATGTTGAAGTTTAACTATTAAAATTTGTTTTATTTAGTCGCCAAACTTTTAGTTTTATTATGTGTTTTTGGTACAATATAGTTATGACTTATGTGTTGGCATAAGAGTACACAAGGGGACTATTGTTATTTACATTAATAAAGTTTGTAATAAATAAAATTTAATCAATAATTTCAAATGCCTTTTTTGCATGAAGTTTAATAAAGTAATTGGAAGAACTTTTATTAAGGATACACATATGTATAATTATTCATTTGAGGGGGGAGGGGGATTGAGGGGGGAGGGGGATTGAATGAGGATGGTGATCCTCCCTCCGCATAGGGAAAGTTTAAAAAATGCATAGTTTTATGAATTTTAAAGAATCTTATTTTGAGATTATGTTTTGTTTTTTATATCTCTAACTGATTTCTGGGGGGAGCCACTTGACGTGATAGTAGTTGACAGAGCCCACAAAGTAATAAAATAGTGCAAAGTTTGACTTCGGACAACTTCAGACCCATGGTTATACTGTTTTGTTACACTAGTGTAATTACTAATCATATTTATGAACAATGCTTACACTAAGAAAACAATAGCCTTTGATTATTATTGTGGGTTAGTTATTGAAGTTAAGTTCATTTATAAATTTTTCATTAAATAATTGGATTCTTCTAAAGCATTTTTGATTCTAAATGTTCTAGTCGTTTATGGCACTCGACGGCAGTTGCCGCGACTCGTTCGTTGTGGTCACTGTTCTAACCTAACCAACCGAGACAGAAGGAAAGGATTCTTCCGAGTAAGACGTAGCTCCCGACTCAGTCTTCTCAACCTACGTTATCCGAGTGGGACCTGTCATATAATCAAAAAATAAAACCTAACCTAACTATAATCTGTCATATAATCAAAAAATAAAACTTACCTAACCATATATGACCATCTGTTTGCTTTAAACATATACCTAATAATTAGTCTTCGATGTGATAATGTAACCACTGGTTATAGCTATGCTTGATTGTTACATTAGTGTAACAAAACAGTGTAACCATTGGCCCGAAGTCGGCTGAAGTCAAATTTTACCCTATTTTATGACTTTTGGGGCTTCGTCGACTACAACCACATCGAGTGGCACAGGGGAAGGGTCTCCTCCGTCCCCCCACAGTCTACTCCCAGAAATCAGCTAGAGGATATAAAAAAACTTAACAAAACATAACCTCAAAATAAGGTTTTTAAAAATTCATAAAAATAACTATACATTTCCTAAACTTTTCCTATGCGGGGGGAGGATCTCCACCCCATTTCGAGGACCCTCCCCATACAGGGTACATATATATAATTATATATGTGCCCTTATATAAAAGACGAGCTTAGTACTATTAATTAAATTTTATTTTCAGTAACAATGGGTATTACAGTTAGTAAATATTCTGATATATCAACTAACGAATTAGTGGCAAGATTTTGTTCTAATGAAATCATTTGCCCAAATGATCCTTTCTGGAACCAATTATTGGCATTCAACATACAGATACCAACAAATGCGTAAGTAATATTGAATACCTAAGATAATATAGGTACATACAAAGTGTATTATTTGTCTTCTCTATTGTCTTGGTTAGACAAAGCCCAAAGGATTGTTTTGACATTTGCAGTATGCAAAATATGATGCGAGTTGCTAATTATGCTTGCTTTATATATGTTTCAAGAAAAATAACTTTTTTCTAATATATTACTAAAAAGTTATTTTCCTACTAAAAATAACATAAAATTGGTGTAAATTATGAATCCTTATAATGTTATATAGTACATAAGTCTAAAGAAACATAAAAAAATATATATTTGTCTGTCCATTTTTTTAGACTTAATTTTATTCAAGTAGTATCTAAGGGAAAGTGGTTCAAAGTGACATGAAACCTTTTTTATCCTCTAAAGGAAAAGATTCTTGTGCTTACTCCTATTTTACACATTATAATTTGATTTAGTTTTAATACTGTTATTTTAACCACCATTCTCCTTCGTGTCTACATGACAATGATGAAGACTGATCTTTCCTCAACTGGCACACTTTGAAGTCATTAACAAGAAAATTAAATTGATTTGATTTGAATATTGAAATGAATTGTAAGAACAAACAAAAAATTGAATTGTAAGAACAATTCAATTTTATTTTATATAATATTGCACAAGAGTGCAATAACGACCGCGGGCACACCGGTGTTACCAATGTGTTAACAAATAATTTCTTAGGGATTTAATTAATTTCTTAGAAATTTACCTGGAGGAGTTAGATGAAAGTTTTCTGAGTTTATAAACAGATTTGAAAGTGCTAAGAGAAAGGAATTCACACTTTATTTATATATTTATTGCTTTATTTTATAAAATATTTTCTTTTTAGTGACGAACAACTCATACTAGATTCTAGTTCGGAAACTTTATTGCAAAATTTTCTGCAAAACAATCAAGAAACTGGCAACCTTGGGTCATTGGTGCAGGTGTTTATTACCAGAGCCACGGAATTGCTTGCCACACCTAATAGTGACAAGTGAGTGTTGTTCTATTTAAAAAAAAATGAAAAAATAAACTGTGACACAAATTTTTTGGATTATGTTAAAGCTGGTTTATTTTTTAAATTAATAAGTGTAATTTTTTTAAATTTTATTTTTAATTGATTTTCCAGCATAATGTTAGCATGGCAGTGTTATAATGCACTATTCCTCATAAGGGCAGTGACCAAATATTTAGTTGAGTTGGTACCAGAGTATGAAGTTTGCAGACACTTAGATGTTCAAGTTAGACTTGTTAATGTAAGTATATAGTATATTTGAATAATAATATATATTTTTTAAATATGTTGGGACATTATAGTTTGTGTTATGGATACCAGATAGTTAATACACTGCACATATATAACTTTAAACACATATTAAAAATATAAACGCTCATGACAGGAGTACAAACATTAATGCTCATCACACAAATGAAAACCCTCAGCGGGTTCGAACCCGCGATCGCTGGCACAGTAAGTAGGGTCACCACAAACTGAGCCAAATGTGTCGTCCTAAATCGTTTTGTTAAATTATTTTCTTTCTGGATTAGCGTCATTTATTGATAAATTCAGAACTAAAGTATTTTTAAAATAACTCGGCAAAAACTATCCTATATAGTTCCAGTAAATGATCTATCACATGTCACACATTAAAATCAGTTTACATAAGCACTTTCATAAATGTATCATCTATACAGATGAATAAAATTGACGGGTCAATTTGTAATGTCAAAATTACAGGTTTTTACTATATGCATATGTAATTATATATGTACATACTTATAAGAAAAACACAACTTTTATTTTTTGTCTGTCTGTCTATCTGTTTGTTCCAGCTAATCTCTGAATCATGGAGATTTAAGGAAGTGATCATGAATGTTTACGTTGTTATTTATTCAGAAAATAAAAATTATTTTCATTTTTCAGTCGCCAAACCCACCTGACCAGTCGCCCTCCTCTTTCTCCACTCAAGAAGGGGAAATACCGAAACAAAATGGGGAGAGTCGGGTGGAAATGCTAATGGATGCTCTAATTGGTCTGATAATAGATGTACCTATCACGTAAGTATGTTTTATTTAAGAAAGCTACAATGGATGACATTTTAACATTAATTTCATGCCGGTTTGGTAGCAATATTGAAATTTTGACTCTTCTTTATTTATAAACCGACTTTTTTATGTTTTTAACCTCACATCTCTGGCTTATTAACCGATTTGGACAACTTTTGTCTTGTTTGAAAGTACGCTTATTTCTAGTTATATATACTTCCAGTTGGTCCTACTTAAATTTGAAAAAAATATATAGGATATATAGCGAATGAAAATTTAACCTACTTCTAATTATCATATTGACTTAAAACTTTGCAAGTGTTTCTATTTCCGTTGATCGTACAGTGGTTCGGTATCGACGACCTGATCTGATGGTAAGGCTGGAAGGTGGATAGGTGGAACTCTTCAACGGCTAATAGTAGACACTATGAATTTGGGCTTATTTTGTTTGATTTGACAAGCCCCAATATGTTAGAATTGTAATTTAGAGCTTGATTTTTTTAAAAAGTGTTGCTAATAAAAGCGAATTTTAGTTTGTCAGCCTTCATATAAAAATTGCTATCAAACTAACTTATATGGTTTAAGCGAATATTTTATTAAAATGCTTTCTTTTTACTTTGCTACTGCTATGTCTACAATAAAAAAAACTAATATTATATTAAAATAAAATCAGTTATTTTTTAATTTTTTGTGTTTTTTATGTCGGTTTTTTTTCGTTTAGTAGCTATTAGTGATGTAACGAATGTTCGAATTTCTCACATTTGCGAATGCGAATGCGAATATCCATCTCCAATATTAATAAATGCGAATGCGAAAGTTGACTTAACTTAATTTTATTTACAAAAACTTTAGTTAAGTATATAGTTAAGTATATATAGTTAAGTATTTTGTTTTTTTTTGTGTTTATATTTCATTCTCTTTAATTGTTAGAAATATATATATAGTGGATTTTAGAGCCAGATTTTTTAGTGTTACTAAAAAAAGAGAATTTTTATTTAAGTCTTTGTTTAAAAATTGTCATCAAACTAACTTAATTGCCTTAAGCGAATATTTTGTTAAAATACTTCCTCTTATTTTGCTACTACATACAACGCAAAAAAAGTTATTTAAAAAATTCAGTAGGTGAAAAATTAATCAGCCCCTATTTCCTTCACTTGGGGTGGGTTTTTTTTTCAAATTTAAATGGGACCAACTTTGTGGTAAACCTTATCCAATAAAAAAGAATCATGAAAATCGGACTACACTATAAAAAGTTATGCCAAACTTAAAAAAAATATATATACGTATATATATATATATATATATATATATATATATATATATATATATATATATATAATATATATATACGCGTCGAATTGAGACCCTCCTCCTTTTCTTCGTCTGTTGAAAATGATCGTGACGAGTGAGGTTTTTAATTATTCTGTTTAATAATTGAATTGGCTTAACTTTTTTATTTATGAACCGATTGATATAAAACAAATACAAAATGTTAAGTGAAGCTTACCACAATATATTAGTGAAAACCGCATCTGAATCGGTTAAATCGTTTCTGAGTTTAGCGCGCACAAACTCATAGGCAAACAGACAGAATTTAAAAAAAAATCATTGCTTTGGCTTGTATAGCGTTAATAAAGACCCACACTTATAGTTTTTCTCAAATATCTTCCATGTACAGACAGCGATCAGTTACAATTTTATTATATGTATGGATTTCATTACAGCGACAATACATATTACTTACATTTGGAATGTCTGAATACACTTCTCGTACTGATGTCGGTGTACTTGTTTGCTGGAGTTCACGGACAGACACGTTTGGTTGAAACATGTTTGATATATAGGTGAGTTTTCCATTTTTTTTATTGCTAAATTCTTTCTTTTTATTTGTTTTATTTTTATAATCTGCACTGTCGAAGCAATAAAAACTTTATGAAATTTTCAATTTCAAAAAGGATTTATTTAGTTAGATTTAAATCATATAAACTATATTTTTAGTCTTAGCTAAAACTAATTTGAAGGCAAAAATGTCTGTCCATATATCACTGCCATTCTGCTTGGAGACTTTTAATTTCTGAGCTAAAATTTAAATAGTAGTTGAAAAGTACACAATGTCGTAGTCCATTTATGAAAAAAAATTACGTTGGTATAGATTTCCCAGAGATGAGATATTTTCCCGCAGTGAAAGGTATCCTATATCTTGACCCGGATAACCAACTATCATCATACCAAATTTCATCAAAATCCATCCAGTGGTTTTTCCGTGATGCGGTAAGAGACCGACAGACAGACAAAAATTCTAAAAGCTAAAGATTCAGCCTCTGTATCGATAGTGACTATTTACATAAGATTTTACAATAAATATTTAATGTACAGATTCGACTCAGTTAGAATATTAATATATGTTTAGATTAAAAAAACGATGTGGGTACAAAATATGTTGTAAGAATTCGATTTTAACTTTCAACGTATACTATAAAATACTAATTATGTACATTTTCAATGCAATAAGGTAGCGATAGCTCAGTGGTAATGCGCTCCGTTGGGTGATCGAGTGAAGCGGGTTCAAATCCCGGGTCTCGCGAGTCTGATATTTTCATATGCGAATCATTTCCAATATGATCACCCCTTGTCTTACTTGATTAAGTCACAAGAAAAGAGCTGAATACACTGCTATACAATCTACTTTTTCAATGAAAAATATTTATTAATTTAATTTTCCAGAACGCTCTTCCAAGGCCGATACAGTATGCATTCTCCGTTACTGATAAAGACATTATTAAATAACATATCGTCCATGACGGCCGCCCCCCCACAATTTGGGGGTCAAGGACCGGGCAGCCTATTGATTAATATTGCATGTAAGTATATATATATACTCGTAAACATAGTATATGAGAGTATACTTTTTTTAATTTTATAATATACTAGCGAGGGTGAGTACCCTTGCTTCGCTCGGGTTCGTCCCAAGTTTGCTTCCTCATACAAACTTTCATCCCCATTTTCACCCCCTTAAGGGATGATTTTTCTTCCCAGGGTCCAAAGTATCTTCTCACCAAATTTCATCTAAATCGGTTCAGTAGATCCAGAGATTACCCCCTACAACGGCACAAACTCACAAACTTTACCTCCTTATAATATTAGTATAGATAGATTGACGTATTATATATGAAAAAACCATCTAAGAGAAATGTCACTCAATAGATTACGACACGGTCGCGCTTCCTACCTATGTCGTATTTTACTTTTTAGCTACTTGTCCAAATTATATGCAGTAAAAAGAAAAAGTCTTTTGTTTTAAACATTTTAGATGATAAATTTACTTATTTTGATAAGAATTCATAATTGTTGATAATATAATATATAAACATGACCTACCGATTTAAATTATTCTTTTAATATAATAAACTACATTTTGTGACTTAAATATAAAAGTTAGACATATGCTGTCGCTGACTTTTTTGTAGGCATTATTAAGCTCTACAACTTTTCTCTAGAACATAATTATATATCTCTCATCGTTAATTCAGCGTTCGTAAGAAACGTTTTCGTTCGACCGTTTTTTCTCCGACTTTTCAAATCCGACTACCATGAAAAAGTCTTTTCATTCTTCGGGTTAATATATAGCCTTTGACACTCAGAAATAACGATGGTTTCTATTGGTAAAAGAACTTTCAAAATCAGTTTAGTGGATCCAGAGATTACCACCTACAACGTCACGAACTCAGAAACTCACAAACTTTACCTCTTTATAATCTTCTTCTTCTTCTCCCTGCCCATTTCCCAATCACATGGGCTCGACGCAGTACATCTTGTGTACTGCTGATAGGATTTGGCAAAAGGTTTACGACCGGCCGCCTCACGCCTGCCTGACGTCAACCCTCCTTGGGAACGCTATTGTCTCTCTTTGTCTGAATGGTGTCGCGGAAGTATTGTAATATTATTATGCACTTTCGAGTTTTTTGTCTTTTAACTTTACCTCTTTATAATATTAGTATAAATTTAACGTTTAGTATAGGTTTCTCAAAGATGAGATATTTTCCCGCAGTAAAAAGTATTCTAATGTTGACCCGGATAACCACCTATCACCATACCAATTTTCATCAAAATCCCTTCAGTGGTTTTTCTGTGATGCGGTAACAGACAGACAGATAGACAGACACAAACTCTAAAAACTATAGATTCGGCCTATGTATCGATAATAATGTTTATTTCAATAAGATTTTCCAAAAAATATTTAATTTACAGATTCGGATTCGGGATGTTTATATGAAAATATAAAACAAAATCGTCTTATATACATATAACCACTAGCGACTTGCCCAATGCTTCGCTCGGTTGTCCCTAGGGCTTAATAGTGGCCTACGTTTTAAATAATACTATTTTTTCGGATAATTAAATGGATTGTGTTAGATTTTTGGTTCCCGATGCTTCGAATACTTTACAAAATTACAAAATCAATTTGAATATCCAAAAATAGCAACGGTTTGTTTATAGATTTAAGTTTACTCTTCTGTAAGCAGTACTCATGACTGATTTTTTTCTTTTATCATTTGATTTTCTTTCCTTATTAAACATTTCAATAAAACAAAAATTTCCACCTCCCTCTTGGGACATCGGAACCGCAGCGATCTCTGCGCGTCCTCTATTGTCTTATCAACTTTTGGAGAATACTTTCACATACAGAGATTGAACGTTGTATATGTTTTTTTTTAATTTATTAGCCAGCCTCTGGAACATTCTAACGTTAGCGCCGACGGCCAGACAGACGATATACACAGCACCACCAGCCAGCCGGCAGGAACTCGCTGATCGGCTGAGAACAGAACACCCAGTGGCCAACCAGTCCTGTCTGCTGCTACTGGCGCTATCCAACCACTGCATACACGAGGACAACCTGTTCAGGATATCGCTGCTGCACTGTGAAGATACCGCTGGTAAGTGCTGGGTTACTCGTACACGTCCATTGCTGGAAATAGGTTTCCCCCCTAAGATTGCCATGACAACTGGACGTGTTTATGCAAAATATATTTCACCATAGTTTTTTTCTTTGAAATCCTTCTGAAATATTGGGCATTTTATTGACTTTCTGTATATTAGTTGACATGTAGGTGCCGTTTATTACAGTAATTTAAATAAAAACCGTTTTCGTGGGCTGATAGTTAGACAGTTGAGATTTTCACAGAAGTTGTATTTTTGTTGCCGGTATAGCAACAAATACTAAAAACAGAATAATATAAATATTTAAGGGGGCTCCCATAAAACAAACATGATTTTTCTGCCGTTTTTATAGACTAGCATTGCCTGCGGCTCCGCCCGCGTTCAGGTGACCAAAAACCAAATTCTTAGGTTTTACATAATAGTATACGATTACATTGCAGTTTTTGTATTTTTTCTCCGAAATGAGATATTTTCCCGCGGTAAAAAGTATCCTATATGTTGACCCGGATAACCAGCTATCACGATACCAAATTTCATCAAAATCCCTCCAGTGGTTTTACTGTGACGCGATGACAGACAGACAAAAATTTAAAAAAGCCATAGATTCGGCCTCTGTATCGATAATAATGTTTATTTCAATAAGATTTTCCAAAAAATATCTAATGTTCAGATTCGGCTTAGTTACAATTTTATTATTTGTATAGATGGTACGGAACCCCTTGTGCCTGAGTCCGACTCGCTCTTGGCCGGTTATGGACCTTATGAGAGTAAATTTTTACAATGCGCGCGCACACCGACAGCCAAAAAGCAACATGATGAAGTTAGCTGCATTCCATTTACAAACAGAGAGTTGTGACATACGGGAAAAAATCTTCAGCTATTTTTCTTTTATTACGCCAAAGAAATATAACTTGTTACGTATGCACATAAGTACACACACACACGTTTTTTTTTACTATTAATTTATTTTAATTATATAATTAAACTATTTCTAGATACATCTGGGACCACTCCCCACAAAGATACGAATGAAAGCGTCACACAGATCACACCGCCCAGGATAGATATGGCAGCGGTAAGTTTGTTTTAATCAATCATTCACATCAATTTGTATATTACTAGCGACTCACCCTCGCTTCGCTCGGGTTCGTCCCTAGGTTGATTCCCCATACAAACTTTCATTCCCATCTTCACCCCCTTAAGTGGGATAGAAACTATCATATGTCCTTCGCAGGATCTCAAACTATCTTTTTATCAAATTTCATCTAAATCGGTTCAGCAGATCCAGAGATTACCCTCTACAACGTCACAAACTCACAAACTTTACCTCTTTACAATATTAGGATAGATGTGTGTGTGCGAGTGTGTGTCACGTGTGTGTGTCACGTCTGTGTGTGCGTGTGTGTATATGCCAAAATAATAGAAATTAAAAAAAATGTCATTCAGCCGCAGAAATAACTTTATTTTTTATAGAAATACTAAGTTTGAGTCAGGCTCGTACTTGACTGATTTTTTTAATTTTTTTTTTCAATTTCAGCTACACAAAGCCCTGTGTGCCACAGCCGGGTGTGAACACTCGACCCTCTTACTGTATTTGATGTTGCATTCTTGTAAAGCGTACAAACGACACGTCAGTAGCAGTCCTAATATAGAGAACTTGGTGAGTTATCTTTACTTTCTGTAAACTTAATGCTTTTTTTTGGGTTTTAGTTTCTTTTTAATTATGAAAAAAAAAACAAAATAAATGATGTATACAACCCTTTTTTAACGTCCCACTGCTGGGCGTGGGCCTCCCTTCAATACGAGGGGGATCAGGCCGTAGTCCAACACGCTGGAAAAGTGCGGGTTGGCAGTCATCACGTGTCTTTTGAAAACTTGATATGGTTATAAATTATATTGTTTTAAAACTGATATTAATAATTTTACTTTTATGTTTCTAAAATGAACTATTAGATAATAAGTTTATACGGCACATTTAAAGATGGCGATGTTGATTTATATATAAAAAAAATCTGGTGTGTGTGTTCGTACATAGTTCTTATCCGCCTGACAATGGTGTCACCGATTTTGGTGCTTTCTTAGGTTTCCGCAAGGGAGGATGCCAACGGAACCCTATTACTATGCCTTCGCTGAATCTCATGAACCGTTATAGGTAGAAAGTTGAAATTTTCACAGATTATCTATACATATAATAAAATTGTAATTAGGCCGAATTGTACATTAAATATTTTTTAGAAATTCGTATTGAAATATACATTATTATCGATACAGAGGCCGAATCTATAGTTTTTAGAATTTTTGTCTGTCTGTCTGTCTGTGACCTCATCACGGAAAAACTACAGGAGGGATTTTGATGAAATTTGGTATGATGATAGCTGGTTATCCGAATGCTTTTTCTGAGAAATTTATATTAAACGTTAAAAAGTAAGTAGGGATGAAGCCGGGCGGAGCGAGGGTGAGTCGCTAGTATATTATATATTCGGGTATGGAACCCTAATAAAAATGGTATACAATATATATACGATTTATTTCAGATGGTGCCAATATTACAAGTGCTGTACAACGCGCCGGAGAACACATCGCACCATATATACATGTCACTGATAGTGCTCTTAATACTGACCGAGGACGATGCACTAATAAAAAATGTACACCAGATTGTGAGTACATAAAGTAATAATCTATATAGATAAATAAAATTGAAGTGTCTGTTTGTAATGTCAAAATACAGCTTTTTACTAAATGCATATTGTGAAATTGTATACGGTAGTTATAAAAAAAAAAAATCAACGAAACGGCTGGACTGATTTTGACAGAACTTTTAGTGGTAGATGGCTGATGTTATAAGGAGAAACTTAGGCTACTTTTCTTTTAGAAAAAAAATTAGGGTTTTCGTTAAAAAAGGATGCATATATATATATATATATATATATATATAAAAAAGGATGCATATATATATATATATATATATATATAATATATATATATACATGCTTTTTTATAAATATATATACCAGGATATATCTATCTATGTCCTTGTCAAGTTTTATCGAAATGTATTCTGCGGGTGTATGCTTGAAAAGGTGACAGAAGGTTAGTTTTTTTGAAGTACTGGTTTTTTTTTGAAGTGTTTAGAATCGTTGTGATTTGAAACTCGATGAAACGAAAATGCGACACTAAAAAGAGACAAACATATATATATATATATATATATATATATATATATATATATAGGATTAAACCGGCGACAGAACGAGATAGAATACATTGCCATGTTGGTAACGTTGTGATTGTCTGACAAGTATATAGTATTATATTCTTTCCGTATATGATATTCTGTCAATATAATAATGATTGTAATATGCCCAATATGCCTTATTTAATTATTGATTTGTTTTAATTTAGTTGCAATATTTGACTAAGAAGTTTAAGTTCAACCGCGCATAAAAGTTACACTATTTTCTTTATATTTTTTTTATTATTACAGATGCTAAAAAATCTTCCATGGTACACAGAGAGGTCTATATCGGAGATTTCTTTAGGCGGTCTCACAGTATTAGTGGTTGTTCGAGCATTGCAATACAACATGGCGCGAGTGAGGGACAAGTATCTGCATACGAATTGTTTGGCCGCAATAGCTAATATGAGCTGTGAGTGGGTTTTGGTTTCTTTCGTTTTTTTTTGGTGTAAGTTTGAATTTTTCGTGGTTAAGAATAAGGTTTGAATATTTTTTTATTTTTTTATTTTTTACCTATGCGGAGGATAGGTTTGTAATATTTTGTGGTAAAGATTGGTCGATATTAGAGATATCGTAAGCGTGTTGCATTACAATATGGCGCGAGTGAGGAGCAAGTGTCTATATAAGAATTATTTAGCCGCGATAGCTATTATGTCATTTTTTTCTTCTTCTTTGTTATAATTGGTTAATTTTTTCGGTTAAGAATCCGGTTTGAATTTTTTGGTATTAAAAATTAGGTTATATTTAAAATAAAAAAGCGTATTTACTAATTGAATACATATTTAATATTAATGTTTGTTGTTCTTAGGTGAATTCAGAAATCTACATCCATATGTGGCGCAAAGACTGGTGTCTTTATTCGAAACTCTAACGAAAAGGAGGGCTCGGCTTTGTAGTGAAATAGAAGGTGAGTCTCCTGTACTTGAGTCTATGATTGAACATCAAATAATTGTATTTTATAATACTTTCTTAGATTTACGCGATCATTTGACATTTTAAATTATAATGATTATATATCGGATTTTATCGCAGTTTTTTTTATTCCCGATGTTTCAACTTGGTATGCTTTGCATAAACAAAACAAAAGAACATGATAAAATTTGAAATTTATTTTTGTCTGTTATGTGTTTGTGTATATTTTTTTGAAATAAAATTAAAAATATATATATTGTAGGTGGAGATATAAACAGTATAGAGCTGCCGCATCATGCTGAAGAGAAAACCGAGGAGATTGTAAGTAATTTTGTATGTCTGTTTTAAGATTATATATATTTTTTAATAATTTTCTTAATATAATAAAAAAAGTATTTTTTTTATATTAAAATTATATAAATATTATTATAAATAATATTTGATGTTATTAATTTAGAAAAAAGCTTAATATATATGAGAGTGTTTTATAGCTTTTATTTATTGGGGCTTTATTTTTTTTTATTATAAATAAAATTGTGTACTTTGCTTATAGTAAAATATTTTTCTTCTGTATGATCTTCTTTTGTCTTGTAATTTATATATACACTAGCTTCGCTTCTCTTGAGGTTCGTCCCTAGACAAAAACATATATCCCACGGGAACCGTACATTTTTCCGGCATAAAAAGTAGCCTATGTGTTATTCCAGACTATAATCAACATCTGTGCCAATTTTTTATCCAGACCCGTTCAGCCGTTCTGGCGTGAAAGAGTAACAAGCATCCATACTCACTCACAAATTTTCACATTTATAATATTAATAAGGAAGTGTAGTTATTTGTTTTTAACCAAAAAGAAAAATATATCTTATTTTTGAAGTTATACTTCTTTTGGTACGTTTGGAAATAAATATGAGAGTAAAATTTTATCGATGTGCACGCACACCGACAGCCAAAAAGCGACATGATGAAATTAGCTGCATTCCTTTTACAAACAGAGAGTTGTGACATACGGGATGAAATCTTTGCTATTTTTGTTTTGTTACGCCAAAGAAGTATAACTTCTTACATATGTACATAAGTACACACACACGTTTTTTTGGTCGTTTTCAGATGGAACACATAGCGGTGTTAGACGAAGTGTTGCGGATGCTTCTAGAAATAATCAACTCGTGTCTCACACACCAGCTGTCGAACAATCTGAACCTGATATACGCTCTTCTATACAAGAAGCAGCTGTTCCAACAGCACGCACATCATCATATCGCCCAGAACATAGAAATGGTCAGTATTAAAAGTATACTCGATACAGATAAATAAAATTGAAGTGTCTGTTTGTAATGTCAAAATAATAGCGTTTTAATAAATGCATATGAAATTATGTACTGTACTTGTAAGAAAAATACAATTTTGTTACCACATCACAGAAAAACCACTGGAGGGATTTTGATGAAATTTGGTATGATAATAGCTGATTATTTGGGTGAACATATATATATATATATATATACTTATTACCGCGGGAAAATGTCTCATTTCTGGGAAAAAATACAAAAACTGCAATTTATTAGTACACTAATATGTAAAACCTAAGAATTTGGTTTTTTGTCATCTGAACGCGGTTGTAGCCGCGGGTTCTGTTAGTTTAAAAAAATATTAATTTGTTTATAATGTTTTAGGTGATAGGATATTTCTCGACGCGCCTCCAAAGGGTGCAAGAGGGCGTGGGCGGCGATCTAGGCGTGACTGAGGTGTTGCAGTGCATCAAGAAGGGCGCCGAACAGTGGTCCAGTGATAGGCTCAAGGTATGGTATAGTAGTGGGTTCGATTTTGTTCATATGTGTAGTATATGTATGTAAAATTAATATTAAATTATATTTAAAATGCCTCGGTGGTGTCGTATGTACGGCTGCACATGAGCAGGTCCTGGGTTCGAGTCCCGGCTCGGACCAAGTTTAGTTATTGAGTTTTCTGTTAAGATATCCTCAGTAACAGCTCGGAGTTGAAGTTGGTGGTGTTTCATTCACTCCCATGCTTCGGAGAGCACGTGTCTCGTCGGTCCTGCGCCTGAACTCTCGCCGCGAGAGTCTAAGTATCATCCCATTGGATTTTGATAGTGACAGGAACAGAGAGTGCACGTTGTGTCTACACTATAATATCTCTTGCAGTTGGTAAGTCTCAGTGAGATTGGCTGTCATGGCCAAAATCGATCGAGAGGTCATTTTTATATGTACAACTAGCGAGTCACCCTTGCTTCGCTCGGGTTCGTCCCTAGGTACATTTTAATTTTTTTGAGCGGAACTCTAATTATTTTACTGAAACAAAAGTAGCCTGAGTTACACCTTATAACATCAACTATTTGCTAGTGAAAGTCCCGTCATAATCGGCCCAGCCGTTTCGGAGATTAGCCAGAATAAACAGACAGTGTAAATTTTTAAAAACTGTGTTTTTCTTACAAGTATCGTATATTATTTCATATGCATTTATTAAAACGCTGTTATTTTGACATTACAAACAGACACTTAAATTTTTATCCATCTATATAGATTATATATTTTCCTATGAGTCTTTTTGTTATACAGCTTACTCATTTTACTTTTCCCAGTTAAAACATTTTTATCGCAATAAAAATAATCTATAACACTATGCTGTATTATAAGCTTCCTATTGGTGAAAGAATTTTTAGAATCGACTCTGTAGGTTCGGAGATACAAACTACATACAGACTTATTAACTTTACCTCTTTATAATATTAGTTTTGATATGTATGTATCGATATGTAAAAAACAGATGTATGTTTGTGTGTGCATTTAAAAAAAGGCTGAATTTTAGGGGATTTGTGTATGTTGTTATTGAAGTGAAAACTTCTATAGGCAGGTTTGGATGGGGAGTAAATTAATAATAAGTCGTCATCGACATGGTCACGTGACGTGTTAACGCTAACACTCAGACTGCCGATAGATATCAAAACCAGACAAAAGTAAACAGTTTTAATTTACAAATTTGCAGTCCTCATGACTGCTTTTATTTATAAATAAATAATTGAATAAAGGGTGGTCCCATATAAATGTAAAAAATCTACTCTTTTTATCTATAACTATTCACTTACCCTCTCTGCGCTCGGGTGCATACACCTAGGTACGATTAATTTTTTTGCGCAGAACCCTAATTATTTTTCTAAAAAAAGTAGTCTAGTTTGCTTCTAAAGACATCTGCTTTTTAAAACATCTGCCAGTGAAAGTTCCGTCAAAATCGGTCCAGCCATTTCGGACATTACAAACAGACAGACAAAAATTTTAAATATTGTTTTTTTCTTATAAGAATCCGATTGTAATTTCATAAGCGTTTAGTAAAAAGTAAGTTGTTTTGACATTACAAGCAGACACTTCCATTTTATTTATCTGTATAGATGCCTTGTCGTTCCACCGAACAGTGAGAGTGAAAGATACAGAGTGTGTAGTATGCTCTCTCTCACATGCTGCACCACATCTATACTAATATTATAAATAAGAAAGATTTATTTGTTCGTTTTGTAGCGAAGCGAGGGTGAGTTGCTATTATGTATATATTTATTTTTTCCAGAAATTTCCCGATCTAAAATTCCGTTACGTAGAAGAAGATCGACCGGAAGAATTTTTCACTCCCTACGTGTGGGCTTTGATAAGCTCTTGTGGGAACATTTATTGGGCGAGTGAATGTGGCACAAGGGCATCTAGCGATCTCCTCGCCTGATGCAAATGTCAAGATTACAGTGTCTATGGATTGAAGCTTTTGTCTATAGTCTATAATCTATAAGTTAATTTAAAAAAAAGTGTGTGTGCAATTAACACACGGTAGAAGTGAAACTTCAGAAAAGTAACTTACGAGAGAATGAGATGAATATAGAGAAGGGTAATTGTAAGGTTTATCTTTTTTTTATAATATTTTTATCAAGTTTAAAAGTAATTTTACATTTTATTTGATATAAATAAATATACATTACATACATAATATGGTATGGTATGGTATAAACGGGCTTGTTTCCGCAACTCGACGTCTACGCGCCTATTTTGCGTGTGTGGGAAATTTTTCCCAATTGTTTTATTCTTGCCAGCCCAGCTCCTTCAGCAGTCTCTTCGTCCTACCGAAGACCTCCGGGAGTGTACTAGGGGTGCCAAGATGTTGAGCCCGGTACATTACATTACATATTATTAAGTTATTATTTTTCACTTCCTATGTATTGCATCTCAAATAATTAAATAAGACGCATTAGTCATATTAGAATGATATATTTATAGAATATCATATTGTACGGAAAGAATATAATATTATATATGTATTCGTCAACAAACAACGGTTACCATGACAACATGGCAATGTATTCTATCTCATTCTCTCGCCGGCTTAATCCTATATATTTATGTGTTTGTCTCTTTTTAGTGTCGCATTTCCGTTTCATCGAGTTTCAAATCACAATGATTCTAAAGAAGTTTCACTTCTAAAAACTATTGTTTTTTTAAACCTTGATGGTTCGAATGCTTTACAGCAATAATGGTTTTAGACGTCTCAAACGTTATTTTATTTAGTTGTTACAGACGAAACGTCGATAGCTAAAAAATCAAAACAAATCATTGAAAAAATTCGTTTGCTTATGCTTACATTGATCTTGTCTACACTTCATAAGTTCATTTAAAAAAAGCTATATAACTAGATTCATCTTTATTTTTGGTTTTGATTCAAAATTTATTGCATATTTATTACACCCGGTACTAAAAAAATATATATTCGTTCATTCATTCATTTGGAAGAAAAGAGAAATGGTACCAAAGTACCTTATAGTACCGTGGTCGTGTTCTAAATTATATATGGAACTTAAGAGTTTGTCTATGGTATGTATGTTCGTGTGTGGGGGTATTCTTTCTATTTGTTTCTTGTATGGATTATACACGATTAATATAAAAATAAACACTTGACGGATTTAAATATATTATTTATAATTTATTTGTATTATTTTATAAAACATCTATGAATGAGAGAAATATTGTTTTATTTACGCTTTACAAAAGGATAGTCAATTTTTTTATATGAAAAAAAATTATTGTTGACGATCATAGATGAGAATAGCTGTTAAGATACATGATTTTCAAAGGTATTATGCATATATTAAGGTGATAGTAGTTCAGTGGTAATGCGCTCTCTTTGTAAACCGAGTGAAGCGGATTCAAATCCCGCGTACGCACCTCTGATATTTTCATATGTGAATCATTTCCGACATGATTACCACTTCCCTTACGGTGAAGGAAAACATCGTGAGGAAACCTGCATGTCTAAGAGAATCTAGCAAATTTTCGAGAGACATGCTCAGTCCGCCCACACTTGTCCAGCGTGGTGGACTATGGCCTGAACCCCTCGTACTGAAAGGAGGCCGTTACCCAGCAGTGGGACGTTAAAAAGGGTTACAAACATACATTAATTAACTTTAAATTATATTCAATATTAAGAAAAACATTAAAAAAACGAATGTGTGTACTTACATACGCACTTAAGAAGTTATACTTCTTTGGGGCAACAGAACAAAAATACCTAAGTATTTCATCCCGTATGTCACAACTCTCTGTTTGTAAAAGGAATGCAGCTAACTTCATCATGTCGCTCTTTGGCAGTCGGTGTGCGCGCGCATTGTAAAAATTTTAGTCTCATATTTTTTTCCAAACTTTCCTTAAGAAGTATAACTTCAAAAACATTTTTGTTTTCTATATAATATTATATTCTATTTTTCCATTCCTATGTAAATATACCTCTAGTGACTTACAATTGTTCACGATATTTAGTATTAACCCGTATAAATTAAATTAAAATTTATTTATTTTTTTAATTTTTCAAAAAAAAAAGTAATGAACATTTATATTAATTTAAAATCTAAATATTTGTCTCATGTAATTTTTAGTTTTTAATATATCTAGTATAGTGACTTAGACTAAAGAATAATTATAATAAAAACCACTATCTATACTAATATTAAAAAGAGGAAAAATTTTGTTTATTTGTTTGTCCCAAATAAGCTCCGAAACTACTGGGCTGATTTAGATGTTTGGTAAGAAAGTAATTTGAGGCCCTGGGAAGGACATGGGATAGTTTTTATCCCGGAAATCATCCCTTAAGGGGTTAAGTTTGTATTGGGAAGCAAGCTATGGACGAACCCGAGCGAAGCGAGGGTGAGTCGCTAGTATATTATAAATGCGAAAGTTTAGACGGATATTTGTTACTCAATCACGCCAGTACAGCAGAACGGATCTGGATGAAATTTGACACAGATATAGATTATAGTCTGGAATAACACATGGATTACTTTTTATCCCGAAAAAATTTACGGTTCCCGAGGGATATATTTGTTTTTCACGAGGGAAGTGAGGGTGAGTTGCTAGCATAAAATAAATGACGAAAAATAGTAGCGTGATTTGCTGCTTATATATATATATATATATATATATATATATATATATATATATATATATATATGTGTGTGTGTGTGTGTGTGTGTGTGTGTGTGGTAATTAAAACAATATTTTTTTTTCAGAATATCCTATAAATAATAATAATACTGTATTCTTTTGTATTTTTAATGAATAAGTTCTCCTTTTTTTAATAATTATAAAATTCTTTAGCTATTTTTATTTATTTACTTATAAAAACAGTATACAAATCGTTATTTGTATACTATTTTAAAACATTGTTTGGCTTCCTGTTTAGTTCTATGACACTATATTATTCTTTAGTCTGAGTTTACACGTTTGTATATGTATTTTCTTACAAATATATGTAATACTATGTACCAAAAGTAAAATAAGTAGACTTCATTAAGTGATAATAATTAATAAAGTCAATAAAAATATTATTAGTCATTTCTTTCCTTCTCGTTTAGTTTTTATCTGTGGTTATAAATAAATGTAATTGTAAGGCAATAAATGCTTGTAATGTTCTTAAGTCTCATTCTTCCATGTTCAGATAAAAGTTTTATATTAAGTGAACAATTTTCCAAAAACTGAGTTATAAAATTAGGTATAACCTGGCCGTATGTAATATATTGGTTATTTTAAACATGTATTTAAGTTTTATGTACATTTTAATTTGCCTATGTTGTACTTTATCATACAAATAACTTTAATCTGATGTCTTACAGTAGTTTATATAAATATTACTCTAGAATCTAGATCATGGTTTGTTTGTGTACTAAAGTTTATTCAAATCGGTCTAGCTTTTTCAACTAGAATGAGTAAGAAACAAACGTACATACAATATTTCGCATTTATAACTGAATATAGGCGGTATTAGTCATGATCCCATATAAATTTTAAAAACTGCCACTACATCCACAATATGTAAATATTATTATTATTTATTATAAAACAATTATTACATTCATATCCACATTAATTTGCATTAAAATATTACATTTAATATAAAATACGAGAAGAGCTTTACACAATAAATAAAAAAATAACTTATTTCGAAAATTCCCATTTAAATTGAATATCGTAATATCATAAAATAAAGACATGATTTTTTTATATTTTTTATTTAATAAACAATACATTTTCTTTTAAAAAAATATGTCGACTATGTAGGCATTTGATCACATATTTCTTCCAAAAATATTTTTAATTATATATTTTTGTGGTTCTGCATTGACAGAAAGTGGAAAGAGAAAAAGAGTGTATGAGTGAGGACTGTGGAGTCATTATGCTTTATCGTCGAGACATACGCATGTGTTCAAAGTGGTAAAGATACACTATGTAAAAATTTCAATGAATTAGAAAAATAATAAATACCCACTATAAAATTACATCGTGCATTTATTAATTGCGGAAGTAAGCGTCCTTCATTTCGTAGGATCTGTGAAGTTATTTTTAATTGCAATAGAGGTGAGGTACCTAATACATATAATTTTATTATCATGAAATACTTGTATTCATAACGTATTAAAATGTCTTATTATTTTGTTTTTCCTCCTTACCTTATTTATGTAATCATAATAGTTAAGTAGTGTAAAAGATTGCAATATAAGTCAATAAATAAATATTTAACTAAATCAAATCTTTTATTTTACATCTAAAGCTATTTTTACCCATCCCTTAAAGAATTACATAGCCTGTCACTCTTTAATATGGCTAATGTTTGCTTAGCCTCTCTATGACGTAAACCTTCTTTTTATAATTTTTTTATCAAAATCAGTTTAGTAGAACATTGTGTTTTTAAAATTTTTGGTCTTGGTTTAAAATTGTAGTAGTTATGGGTATATTACAACGACTTTCATTATATTAGTGCTGTTTTTTTTTTAATATGGAAGAAAATCAATATAAAATAAATAAATAATTGAATTCCGTTTAAATGTGTGAAATCCTACGCATTACTGTACTCTGACGTAAAAATAAAAACGCACTACGCGAATAGCGGCGACTGTAGGCCTTTATAACTACTTATGTTAAGTAATAAGTACATCTTACACTTGATTTATCGAAAAAATAGAGAAATCATTTAAAAACCATATTTATATGTTACAAAAAACAAGAAATAAATAAACAATAGATATATAAATCCATAACATATATATTTTTTTCGTGATGTAATTTAAATGTAACATTGCTATTTGCAAGTGGCAACCCCACACAGATCAATCAATCGAAACTGGCGACGATGTTTTGTGCGCATTTAATTGTTTGTTTTTGTTAATATTGAAGCGAATATAATAA